TTGGGCAGCTGGTGAACAGCAACACAGCTACGAGCAGGCTTGTGAACGAAGAACTTCTCGTAGGTAGCGTTCATCTCAGCGAAGTTGGCCATATCAGTCAGGAAGACCTAAGAAAAGAAATCAAGATCAGCAAAACGGTCCTCCTCATAACTTGTGTATACATCTTCCCGGCAAAGCCAAATCCAGAAATGCCACAATAACCAAGCCGGGGAAGAAAACACATACATTGACCTTGACGATCTTGTCCACGCTGGAGCCAGCAGCGGTCAGGATAGCCTTGATGTTATCGCAGCAAACCTGTGTCTTGGCGCCGATGTTGCCCTCGACCAAGTTGGCGGAGGCGTCAGCGGGGATCTGGCCAGAGACGAAGATCTGACCGTTGGCACGGATGGCCTGGGACTGTAGTTGGTTTGTTAGAATGTTCTTTTGTAGTTGTACAATGTGTGTGAATGTGGAATGGGTGTTTTGAGGTGGGTTGTTTCGGTATGGAGGGGTAGCTCCCGGGCTAGATAGAGCTGCAGATGCAGATGGAGGGAAGGACGACGTACGTAAGGGCCGGCAGCTATAGGAGATGTGAGTTAGCTATTGCTCTTTGTTTCTTTTGATTTCATTTCTGGAATTGAGTCTGCTTTCAATGTCTAAGAGGCAGGGGAGGAAGCATAGCTGACGTGACTTGACTTACGAGGGCAGGCATCCTTAGCGGAGATGATGGACATGTTGGCAGACATTATATAAGGGAATTGAGGTCGGAGTGGGATTGAAGGACGGAGGATTCGAGATAGAGATAGAAGACGAGGAGTAATTCGCAGCATCGGGAAGAGAAGAGGTTAATTATAGGAAAGGTGATGATAACGAAGGTGCCCCGCTCTGCGAGTTTCCCTCGGAGAGCGTCGATGCTCCCCGATGAAGTCATTCTTTTACTTTACGTTTTGGATTTTGTTATAGCTGTTGTAGATATTATATTGGAATTTGTATTCAATCAAGATTCAGGGTTAATACAATGGCAATGCTTGCTAAAATAAAATAAAATTAAAGTCGTTTCGTCGTGATGCGTTACAAAGCCTGCGCCTTCCATGAACATAATATACAAGTCAAGTATCTTTAGGGTCATGATTTGCCCAGGTTGCCAAACTGCTGCAATAGGTTGGCAGTCTCCTCGGCGGAGTACCCGAAGAAGACGGGGCCATTGAAGGTGATGTGGGAGGGAGTTGAGAATGTCGAGGGCATGTCGGGTTTCGTAGTCGAGTCCTCGCTCACAGGAGCAGTCGGAACAACTTGGGGAGCAGGCACTTGATCTGCGACAGCATCCTTGGGCCAGGTCTTAGGCCATTCAGTCCAGGGGGTCTCAGTTTCAAGCTTTGGAACTTCGGCCTTTGGTTTATCGCGGCCGAATGGACAACCAGTTTTCTTTGGTATAGCAATGTCATTGTCCTTGGGCCTTTCATCACTCCGAGGTGTTTCTAATTCGGGCTTTGGGGCTTCGGGCTTTGGTTTGTCGTGACCGAAGGGACAGCCACCGGCGGGCTTAGCATCAAGGACGTCAACATCGGTGGGTTTATCAGGTTTGCCGGCTTGAGGGTCGGGAGATGTGGGGATAGAAGCCGAACCAGAGAACGGTGCTGAGGCGGGAGGTAGATGTGTGATAGGCACTGAAATACCCCAAGGCCTGCTTGGGGATTCACCCACGCGGACTTCGCGGAGGGGACGGTCGAAGTGACTCTGGCGGTTGTCATCGTCATTCTTGTCCTCTTCGTTCTGTTCCTCGTTCTCCTCATTCTGGGCAATGAGTGTACTGGGTTCCACGTTCTCGGCCCATTTCTCAACACGCTCGCTCGACGCAGAATGCGAGGAGTGGCCATCGCCGTTCGTATGACGGTCAGGCAAGAAGGCTTGGTGCTTGACACCTAAACCAGCGATCATGCTGGTTAGGCCACCGTATTTTGCGTCCAGTTGTCTCATATCCTGTGGGTTTCGCTGATAGCGCTTGACGCAAATTGCGTGGCTGCGGGGAATCTCATGTTTGTGTCGTTCGACGTATTCGGCGATTTCTTCTGGGGAGTGTTGATCGAGGAATCGGATCGGGCATCGGGAGACGGGGCATCCTCCTTTTGATGACGGGGCCGATGGGGTGTGGCTAGAGTGTCGGTCTTCGAGTTCAGCCTTGATTGGGTCGAGATGCTCGTGGCCACAAGTGGCTTCGATCTGGACCTTCGGCGCAAAATTTTTCTCACTGGGGGCCTCACTAGCATTTGCGCTCTGCATCTTATTCGGTTTGGAGAAAGGGCAATGTAGATTTCCTTGGGTGCCATTCGTTGTGAAGTCCTGCTCCAGCGCGATTGCTGGAGCCGGTGCTTGCGCGAGGATGCACGAGTTGGAGGATATATGGGAGAGGCTATCTTGAGAACGGAGCAGAGATTTGCATCCTTTGACTCCATTCTTGATGGCCAAGGAGGTATTTTCGTCTACATTTTGATGTGCAACGAGGGTCTTGATTACATCCATGGAATTCAACGGTTGTTCTTCAACTCGAGGCTTGCTGTGTACGAGGCCCTGACGGTATTCTTCTTGCTGGGCAAGCAGCTTGGTTTGAACGTCAAATGCACGATGTCTATCTTGAGGAGGCAGAATTTCTATCACGTCTGTGTACTGCAAGATACAAAGTTAGCAATGTTCATCTTGTCAAATGTCATAACAGCAGGGCAGTCATGGTCTCAATCAGATAATACATGTTAATCCGTCATCGCCACAAAAGTGACTCCTGATCTAGAGCTTTTCTTCGTCATGCGAGACCAGTATGCGGAAGCAGGGGAAATGGAGAGAGGGGTGTGTATTTACCTGTTTGAAGACATTATCCATGTGCTGAAACAGCTCATTTTGTCTGTGAGTCAGCCGGTACACGGTTAGTAAGAGTGCATCGAAGGCTTTGCCCACGGCCTCGAGCTGGTCATGGTGTAGATCCGGCTGCATCTCGGCAATCACGGCAGGTGACATTGAGTAAATATATTACAGGGTATCAGAAAGAATTCATCTGAGATGGAAGTGGCCTGTTGAGGCTCTCAAACTTCAAAAGCATGAGAGATGGAAAAGAGGAAAACAGGCGGATTTATAGCGATTGGGTCGACACCGGAAAAACTTGAAGCGAGGTGGTCTGTGCTGATCATGTGAGGGGCTATCCCGTTTTGGGTCGTGGCCGACTATAAGTACAAATATCTACCCTTTTTACATTGAATAGAGTATCTATATGCAGGTGTATGCAGGTGCATGGAGGTGGAAACTCCTTGGTGGACGATGAGAATTTATAGTGCCTTGGAAGTGTAAGTGTGAGACAATGAGTCAATATAGTCAACCTGCCTGGGAGGTAGGTATCTGAGGGAGATTACTTTAAAGAACATATGATTGTTTTGATAGGTTTAGGTATTTGGTGCTCCAGCTTATAGGGATGCATAATGCAAAGCAACGTATATACATGCATGATTCCGGGTCCATGAAGTCAACCCTCCTCAGGCGTAGGTCGGCACTACATATATCTGTAATGAACAGTCCAGAATAAAGCATATATAAATGTAATATGGAGAAGACTATTGGTAGTAAGGACAGGTAGACGATAGTAGAAGCAAAAATAGGGTAGATGTTATTTAGCATAATAATACAAGCTTAATCAATCCAACCACCATTTCCAACCCTGGGAAGGATCTGACTCTTATGCATTTCCCCTTATTTTGGCTTATGTAGCACTATACTGCGACCTCTTCCAACAGCCCAGCCGGGCTAGCTCAATCGGTAGAGCGTAAGACTCTTAATCTTAAGGCTGCGGGTTCGACCCCCGCGTTCGGCTATTCCTAAAACCAAACCTGAGATTTCTTTTTTTGGTTCTTTGGCTCATATTTTTGAACTATGATCTACAACCGATCTGATCTACAATCGATTAACCATCTCTCTCTCTTGTCTATTCTGGTTATTCCATTTCATGGTTTGCTTTATCTCGTACTTTTGTTTCCGTCTCCCAACTAAAATGAGGGGCGGATCATTATACTATTACACAGCGAACGGACAAATCCCCCCACCATCTGCACAACAGACATCCCGGCATGCAGCACCCATGTCTGTTTCCAGTAAAGCCACTGTGACGAGTTTCAGATCCCGTCGTGGCCCAAGACATTCCATTGGCCCGGGGCTAGGTGTAATGGCTGTATGATGTGTCAAGGCTGGCCATACGGCGCATATCCGTTCAGATGGTCTGATCCAATGCCGTTCTAAATCTCCGGTCTGGACAACATCCAGGGTGAGTCATTTATGGTGACCTCTTGAGACTGGTCGTTTTAGTTCTAGTTCGGGTTACTGCCTGCTGGACCAAAGTAACCGTAAACCCTAGGTTGTCAACGGTCTAGGCTTTGGGGGAACTGAAACACAAAGGGATGACGAAGGAGTGGTATCAGTTTCGCGACGCCCCCTGACGATGAGGGGACTGAGCACTAAGTTTACGGGGCTAAGTAGGGTTTCGCAGATCCGACCCCGGTTGGGCATATCTAAGAGCTACGCTGTATGCCGTGGTCTGTACGAGTATAGTAAGTGTATACTTACTAGTTCCTAGTGTTAATAGTGTAGTTTTACCTTCTAGAAGAATATGCAATTGCGTGACCGCAGTATTTAAGTATTTTACCGTAGTGGCGGGATCTGACCGCTGATTTGTATACATATTGAGTATACCTTGGTATATTTGATATATATATATAGTATATATAGTATATATAAATAAAGTATTTATAAAGTATATCAAGTATACCAAGTACAACATACATATTAATTAAAATATGGATATAAAATACTAAGGTAAAAAAACCAGTAACGATCTAGACCTGAGGGGCAAACCGATTATCCTTATCTGTAATTTTCACCCATTTCCTTTTTTTTTCCCCCTCCAAATATTTTTTGGTTTTTTTTTTTAAACCCTTTTACTTCAAAGCCTCTCCCCCCTCTTTCTTCTCTTCCTTTCTATCATCATGTCCTCCACTCTCCCAGATGCCTCCAAAGTCGGACTCCCCGCCTCCGATGCCACCAGCGCCGCCGAACTCGCCAGTCTTAAGGTAAGACTTCGCGCCGCCCTGCGACAGTTCCCGGATTTCCCCTCTCCCGGAATATTATTCGAGGATATCCTTCCTATCTTCGCCGATCCTTCTCTGCATGAGGCCCTGATCCGCTCCCTGGAACTTCACATCATCGCCAACTATGGTGGCCAAAAGCCCGATGTCATTGTTGGCCTCGAGGCCCGTGGCTTCCTGATGGGTCCCAGCCTGGCGCTGCGTCTGGGTGCCAGCTTCGTCCCCGTGCGCAAGCAGGGCAAGCTCCCCGGTCCTTGTGAGACTCAGGGCTACGAGAAAGAGTATGGTCAGGATTTCTTCCAGATGCAGGCCGATTCCATCAAGCCCGGTCAGAAGGTCCTCGTCATTGATGACATTATTGCTACTGGTATGTAATGAGAATCTCCCCCGGTGGATACCCTTCATACTAATAAACTATTTTTTTAGGTGGCTCTGCCAAGGCCGGTGGTGAGCTGATCCAGAAGATGGGCGGCGAACTCCTCGGTTTCATCTTCCTCCTCGAACTCGAGTTCCTTCACGGACGCGACAAGCTCCCCGCGCCGGTCTACACTCTCCTCTCTGGCCAGGCTTAATTTATACACACCGCTTCAAAAAAAAAAAAAATCATTTCTTTCTGCGACGATCTCAACTGCCGATTATAATGACCCCATCCTTTCAAAACGCCCGACCACACCCGATCTTGCGGTGAGCGTCTGCCATCCGCTTCTCCCGGGCCCAATCAAACCATTCACTCGAACTTCGAGTCTGGAGCCTTGTTTCGCTGGTCGACGGCACCCGCCACAGCTGGCGCAGAGCTGCCCGGATAATATCCCCAATATAGACAAATAGCTTTTATCAATGCAACTTGATATGTGTATAAACTGGCTAATCATATCTTATTTCTAATAGTGTAGCTTTCTGTTGAACCTGACATGACCAAAGATTTGACATACTTTTGAATGCATCCAGCTTATCAATAGTATTGTCACTCCTTAGGAATGAATTTCCTCATAACCTCATCCACCCAATCCGCGGGAACCCCCAAATCCACAGATTCCCGAATAGCTCGATTCATCCTCGCAATATACTCAAACTTTGGCCTCGAAAGCTGAACACAATTCTCGTCGACATAAACCAAAACAGGCACCTTCCCCTTCCCCTCATCCAGCCCCGCCCTGAACCCCTCCGCGCCATCCAACCATTTCACAACATTTGCCCCGACAAACCACTTATTATAAGACCCATCTCCCTGCACTTTGGGCCTAATAGAAACAGGCACACCATCCCCAGCCCCCGCATCAACAGCAGACGTATCAACACCCTCGTAACCATCTAGAATCCTCTCATCGCCAATATCCATCTGGTAAAGAACACCGTAGACGGTATCCTCGGACCCGGAAATTGGGATCTTATGCGCGGTGTCAGAGTCTTGATTCGCGACGCGCAGACCAGGTGGTGGAAGGACATTTGCGTAGCCCGCTTCGCATATTAACCAGCGCCAGTGTGGGAGGGTTGCGATTGCTAGCGGGATGGAGGAGTGGGTTGGGTTTATGCGACAGCGGGTTTTCATTTGGGACGGCGAGAGATTGGAGCCGTAGGCGAAGTAGAGATATTTTGGGTATTCAAGTGGGTTTGGGGGTGGTGAGGGGATTGGGGCTTGGGTGTGTCTTTCTGCTGGTTGTAGTGTGATTGGGTTGGACATTGTGAAGTTGGTTTGGGTTGGTTATTGTTATTGTTATTGTTATGTGTATTTGCATATGGAAGGGAGGGGATGAGAAGAGGAATGAGTGAAGAGTAAAAGTGTGCATAAGCTTAGCTCCGATTGCGTTATTCCATCTACTTCTTACATATGAGGTCCAACCCATCTCTACCACTATACTTATTTTTTTTAAAATTATACAATATTGGTCCCCCTTTTTTTTTAGGTGTATACGTAGACAGTAAGAAAAGCACTTTTCGATGTATAGCCTTTGGTCGAATCTTTGCGTTATAATTTACCTGTAATGGCCCGCAGAAAGTACTTTCAAGCAGTCTATATGAAGTATATATTATTGGTAGAATTAGGAAAGCCCAAGCTGGTCTAAAATAACCTCATTCTGTGCGTCTTCGAAGTCTCACGGCTACCTTCTTCGTAGGTGGTAACGTTCCGTAGGGCACCCATCTTGTGTCCGGCCGGGACCTGTTCAGCTTGCTGAACATCGACCAGCTCACATTCAAACAATTCCAAGAGCAGTCCCAGCGTGCCAATGATTTCATTCTTGGCGAAATGGCGACCTGGACACATACGGTGACCTCCACCGTAAGGCATCCAACATTCAGTCAAGCCTTCAAGACTGAATTTGGCATCTTTGTCCTTTCGAGCAAGAAAGCGTTCTGGCCAGAATTCATCCAGAGATTTGGTAACGCTCTCAGGTCTTGTGGCTTCCCAGGCCTATCTGTTATAAGCCGTAACCGAAGAGAATATTGCCATTATTTTGTTTTTGCCAATAGTATAGCCAGGATCTAGCTTGAAGTGGGCATCTTCATTTGTGCGTATCGTGGTGGTTGTGACGCGAAGGCGCAATACTTCCGCGAAAGTGGATTGCAGCAAAGGTTTAGTGGAAAACTTGGGAATATCAAAATCACTAGTTTCGGGTTTTAGACAATCTTGGAGCTCGGTCTGCAGATTTGCTTGTAATTCCAAGTCCTTGAAGGATTCGAAAATATACCAGAAAACAGCGGGAACGGCATTTGCATTAGATCTAGGTCTTTCAGTTGAGAACTCTCCCCTGTTTGAAGTGAGAAATTACTTACCCAAAGAGAAGGGCAAGGTTCTCAGATACGATTGAGTCGTCATCCATGCCATACTTCCTCATATAATCTTCACGCGCTTTGATGTATTTGGATCCGAAGAATTCATCCCACTCCGGTCCCTCTTCCCCATACTGCCTATAATCCGATTCGCGATTTGCACGCCGATTCCATGCTTTGAGATTCGCCAGCAAACGAGCCCGAGTTTTGTATGCCGATGGCATCATCCAGCGAGGCAAGCCACGGGAATAGTTGGCGACCTGATGCTCGAATTCCCAAAAATCCTCCACGATGCCGGGATACATTTCCAGCAGTTGCGAACCCATCATGGCTTCAATAACTGAGGGAGTAATCTGACCCTGAAGCCATGTGTAAAGATCCGAGATCTCTACCCAACTGTTAGTTGGAATCTCGAGCTTCACTAGCCTGCTCTTGAGAACCGAAAGGTATCTCTCTGAAAATGCTAGGAGGTGCTTTCCTGACAAGTACTTGAGACTGGTTTTCACTTGGAAATCATGCATATGCTCCGGCTTTTCTCCTGGTGTTGAGGCGCTGGGATCATGAGCAGCATAGAAATGCAAATATTCCTTGGGGGTACAGAACCATTTCTCCATGACAAAAGCCATCAGAGGTCTGTTTGTCAAGGTTCTAGGAGACCGTAGTATGATTCTAATATGACTTGGGTTGACAACCATTGTGAATCCGAAAGGTCCAGCGCGGACTCCAATGGGTGAAAGATATCCCCAGCGTTTACTAAAGGATTTGTTAGATAACATCACAATTGCGTGTAACCAAGTGACTGACACCGTGTTGGCCAGGAAGCTGGCTATGTTCCACCCTAGGTCAAAGCCATGGTATAGTCCTGGGAGGTAGTATGGAAGGGTTGGTGCTGGCTTTCCGGGCCTCGGGCTACTTCGAGTCCAGATGAAGTTAAATAAAGAGAGCGTATATGTTGAAACAAGAAGCGTCAAGGCGAGGGCTGCGACTTGGAAAGACATAGAATTGAATATGGTATGGGGTGGACTGGTAAATAACAGACTTTCCTAGGAAATAAACAATACTATTAGCAAACTGAAACTAAATCCGGCGCAATTTAAGACATGCATGGATACCTAGTGTGTACTAGTTCAAAATGGGTAAGCTTATGGTGTACTATGCATCTACCCATGTTAATCCCGTCGGTGACCGTTCATAAGATAGATTATTTCCTTGATATTTATCCAACAAGGTAGCTTCAAATGCAAAATGACGATATTGGGGCTTATGGTCGCTGACGTATCAACAACGCATAATCTCTAGGGGGGACCACTGGCTTTGAAGACATCAACCTCCGCTTATAGGTTCTTTTTGGAGGGAATGATGGTTTGTCGGGACACTCCTACCATTGCCGAGTAGCTTTGGTACATGCAGACTATAGTGACACATTAGCATTAGGACTCAATAATAGGCGATAAGAGTTCGGCGAAAGTGAATTGCTTACAGCCTGGAATAAGAATCCAAAAGGAGTTGAGGAAGATGAAGTATCCCCAATAGTAGAAAGTTTCCGGGCGAGAATAAGACACTCCATGGTAGGATTCCTCCAGAATGCTCGTCCCATAATACAAGACATCGCCATAGAATTGGCCCATAGAGACAATGATCTGTGTTGGATGGCGGTGCGGAGACTCTGTAACGATCATCCATGCGATGAAATAGCACAGAGGTCCCCATGCAAACTGTGTAAGATTTTAGTATAACTAGTTATAGGTGAATATATGGCACACTTACGGCTGTAACCGACTCCATACAAAGTACGAATGGCTCCATAGTCATGTATCGGGAATCAGCCTTGGCATACTCCTTCCACATTTGACCAAGAAGATCTAGCCTACGTGGCATTGACTTGTGGTTATACACAAAGTACCCTTCTAGAATGAAGTGTATACATCCACCTAGGGGGTGTTAATCAGGCTTTATAGGCTGTGGATGTAATATTGAACTTACTGAAGATGAACCATCCCACCATAATCTTATCTGCTCGCGATATACTTGGTTTTGTCATCTTTAGAACAGACGAACTGAACCCGATAATACCAACGGTTGCAATAGCGAAACCCCCAAGAAGTGCAGAGGAGCTCATCGTATTGGCAGCATAACCAATGGCATTGAGACCAGGGGGATAAAACGGGTGATCCGGTATGGTTGCCATATTGTCCAGGGGAAGTGAATTTCCGGGAATCAATCTATAATAGTGGTGTCCACACAATTTGGCGTTTGCGAATGAGCCAGAAACGAAACTACATAGCTGATAGCAGCTTTTAAGGCCTGAGATTGAGACGGGCCGTGCCTGGATATGACCACGCCACTCGGGACGAGCTCCTGCTCCAGTTATTATTAAACGTAGCAAGGATGTTAGCCTACGCCAATCACTCCGTAGTACGGGACTTCCCCGCTTAGATATGAACGGGTATGCGTATATTAGTTTCGACTCCCCAAGCCAATCAAGAACATTTAGTTGGAGAATAACAAGGCATGGTTGGCCACAGACAAGGCTATGGACTGTGGACTAGATCTTCTACATTGGCGAGCAAAAATAGCCCCTATCACAGACCCCTTTCCTGGACATGCTCGGACATTTCAAACCCCCTAATCCCGATGTCCGAGAATAATACTCTGGTCAAATATTCTCACCTCAATTGATAAAAGCCATATGAAGTGTATGGATATATACACCAGTGCTGGTTTATATACCCTGAAATTACCATTGGCTGTTGAGTTGTAACGGGCCATGGATACAGAGACAAGTATCCATGGATATATAATCAAAGTACGCCCAAATGAGGGCTTGACTGTCCCATCTTTCTTTCCCTCCAATACCTCCAATATGCTCACCCTGCAGGACCATTTGTTGGCCTTGAACCTTCAGGACACCAAATTATCCATTTGGGGATTTCCATCCGAGATATTGTTCATTATCTTCGACTGTCTACCAGAAGTAGACCTGGTACCAGAAGTAGACCAGGTCTACTTCGCACTGACTTGCAAAAGTCTCTATGCTCATTTTCTCGCGTCTCTCAAAACCAAACCTCTATATCAGAGTCTTCCTAAGCACCTCATTCCAAGGCCATGCCGTACATTCCGTTACCGCAACCTCGACCTTGAGAAACAAGACCGAATGCAGCTACTCCGTCGGTTAGAAAACCCCCGCTGGAAATGTTGCATCGAGTGCTTGCACCTTCATCCACACTCAGCATGGGAAAAACCAAACGACTGCTCCGATCCCCGACTACCCTCTGGAAAGGCCTGTATGCCTTGGGCTGGCCTTGTTGATATTTGCCCCTGCACTCGCATCACCTTTAAAGACCGATTCGGCATTGCCGAGGATCTCAAATCCGCTGACAGTCCACGATACGATGGCTTTTTCTCGACGAGGGTAGGCGGTTGTCGCCAGTTGTGGCATCGGTGCGAAGTCACCAGTCACCGTGCCAACGTTGTAATTCAGACTATGCTTCAGACAAACGAAGAAGCGCCCTCTTTATGGGTAATAAATGCCTATACGTTCCATTTCCCCAAGGGAATGCACCAGAAGAAGATGGAATGTCCTACCTGTCTACTCGAGAACCCCAGGAAATGGCTCAAGCGATTCTTTAGAGATGCTGGAGTGGAATTTGTAGGGTGGGACAAAGGTCAAACTTCAACTTTTGATGTACAAGGGACAGAACTCTACCTCTTCCAGCTTCGAGTTCATAGGTATTTGGGGTGCCGGGGGTGGGTTGACGAAGACTGGGAATCCAACTGCAATGAACATGAACGAATACTTGATTTTGGGGGCAATACGGTCCTGTAGGTTGATGGGGTTGATGGATGGATTTGATAAAGTCATAAAGACCTTTATTGTGGTTGCTAGCTACAAAAACACTGAAATATATGGCTTAACGCAGGGGGGTTTAGTATACTTCGTATGTGGATGGTTTCCTATCAAGGTCTACTCATTACGCCAACTGCCACAGTATAAGAAAAAGAAAAATGAATTTGTGGCTACTTTTAAGTGCCTCCACATAACCAAAAGAAATATTTAAGAGCAGATTTGTTTAAGACTTAGTTCTTGATTTATTATGACATCTGGACGGCGGCAGATGCTCTATGACGTGGTCGCCCTGGCCGCATCCAAATCGGGAAGTTCTATATTCATCTATAGGATGTACCTAGTCTGGGCATACAACTTTCCCTCTCCAATAATAATTACCACAGTCAACATGACGCCCAACTCAAGACTTCGATTGGTCCTACGCAGAAAAGAAAAGAAGCACATCTCTCACCAACCCAAGACCTCAAAGCTTCACAACAGATAGATCCTAGCAAAGATATTAGACCTTGCATACGAGCAATTCCCCGCGCTAGAACAGATCTACTTTGCACTAACCTGCAAATATCTCTACACCCACTTTGTCTCATTTCTCAAGGTAAAAGACCTAGACCATGCGAAACATCTTATCTTATCCCGAGAGAAGAGCGTCTACCAATACTCCACAACGCCGAGCTCAAAGCACAACCTCGAAGCCAGCTCCTACGGCAACTCGAAAACAAACGCTGGAAATGCTGCGTGGAGGGTATGAAGTTACATCAACGCTCGGCATTTGAACTCTCCAGACAATCCAAGAAAGAGAGCCATTGCTACAAGTGTGGCCTACCCCATGGCCGTGACTGCATGTCCTATGCGGGGCTAGTCGACATCTGCACTTGTCTTAGCCTGACATTCAACGAGCGGCAACTGGTGGCGAATACAGTATCCTCTACCGAACAGAGTATATTCCCCAAAGATTTCAAGCACAATTCATCCGCAGGGGTATTCTCGCATAACTGTCAAGTCACCAGTCGTCTTAACGTACAAGTCGCAATCGAAACGGACCTTTTAATCGCTGAATCCATCGAGGGGAATCCCAAATCCAAGACTTTGTATGTGCGCAATATATCTACGATTTTGAATTCTCGAAGGGATTGCCCGGCGCGTTGAGTGGTATCTGTCCACACAAAGAGACCAAGAAGTGGCTCAGGCAATTCATTATAGAAACAGGATTGGATTACTCTGGGTGGGGGGGAGCGGCAAAGCCAGTGGTGACAGAGCCTCATCATTTAATGATCGTTACTGGGGGGCATTTGGGTTCTAGAAACTGGAATAAGCGAGGATGGAAGGACAATCGGAATGACCGCGGTTGAACCTGTTATATAGTGTACACACTTGATCTCTGACCATATTGTGAGACTGGTTCGTCTGAAGGAACTTACTGTTAGATCAATCTGTGTTTATGTGTTTGCTATTTACTTAGTAAAAAGACATGATATTGTTATATCGTATTTCTTTTTTTATCTGAGGCTGAGTACGGAGTTATAGTTCCAATTCTTGCAAGGCGATGATCAACCTTACACCTTTCGGTCATTAATGACCGATAGATATCCACTAGATATCCACTAGATATCCCCACAGGTGACTATCCGACTGAAATAACTCGATGGCCAATTGCGGGGGTTGTCTATTCGTGCATCCATATACCGGAAATCGAGTTCCGCCAGAATTTGATATATCAAGTCTCCCACAAGTCAAAGGATTCAATATCCAATTCGAAAAAAATACAAGAAAAATTCAAAATGGCACCCAACAAACTAGCAATCGCCAGCATTTCCCTGAGCCAATATCCAGGCCATATCCTCGACCACAAAATCCGCGCCGCAGCTCAAGCCGGCATCGCGGGAATCGAAATAGTCTACAACGATCTCCTCACCTACAGCCAAGCCCAACACATCCCCATCCACACGGGAGCCCAGAGAATCCACACTCTCTGTCAAGAAACAAACATCCAAGTCCTCTCTCTAGCCCCCTTCGAAAACTACGAAGGTTCAACAACCCCTCTAAAAGAAAGACTCACTCTCGCCGCGCACTGGCTTGAGATCGCCCGTCTGCTACACGCACCTTACCTGCAAGTCCCATCAATCTTCACGGCAGACTGCAGCCGCGATGAAAAAATAATCATCTCCGACCTCCAGCAACTATCCGACCTAGCCAGCTCCAGCAAGCCAGTAGTATCCATCGCCTACGAGCCCCTGTCATGGGGAACAAACTGCTCAACCTGGGAAAGCGCGCTGTCAACCGTGCAGCGGGTCGACCGTGCGAATTTCGGACTATGCCTGGATACCTTCCATGAAGGGACGCGGTTGTGGGGGGATAATGCTTCCCCGACGGGAGTGCAGATGGATGCGGAGACGAAGCTGCGGGATTCGCTGAGGAGGTTTGTGCGGGATTGTCCGCGGGAGAAGATTTTCTATGTGCAGCTTTCTGATGCGGAGCGGTTTGAGACGCCTTATTCGTTGGCGCATCCGTGGGCGTTGCCTGGTGAGGCGAAGGAGTTTACTTGGTCTAAGCATGCGAGACCTTTCCCTTTGGAGGTTGAGTTTGGGGCGTATTTGCCGGTTGTTGAGATTGCTAGGGCGTGGATTGTGGAGGTTGGGTTTGAGGGGTGGATTTCTATGGAGGTTTTTGATCGGAGGATGACGGATGGGAGGGTTAGTCCGGAGACCGCGGCTAGGCGGGCGGTTGAGTCGTGGAGGAAGGTTCAGGTTGAGATGGAGGGTAAGTCGAGGCTTTGAGTTGAGGGGTGGTGGGCTGTAGGTAGAACTAGGGTGGATGATGGGTATAGATTGTTATCAAATGAATCCAGTTCGATTCTCTGTGAGCTGGAGGTTTGACTATACAAGTCTAAACCTATGTACATATGTGAAACATGAAACTAAGCGCCACAAATGATCCGAGAGTCTTCCAAAAGGGTATAGTATATCTGTGTGAATATTCAAACAATGTGTAAATTCGTAATTGGGACGCCACGGGAGCGCATGCTATATCGTCTCTTGACTCCGATGCCGTTTGCATGGCGCAGTAGCTCGTATGTTTCCTCTCCGCCGCCGACCATGACCATGCTGATGAGATAATTTCGTGGAATGCCGCTGGCTGTCATTTGGGCTTCGTCGAGGTGTGGACGGATGAGAGTGGACTCGGCGCGGACGGCGGCGAGCGCAGAGCGAGACCCAGGTCGTTTTGTTGACTCTTTCCTCTGCTCGTGGAATCCGTGTGGTGGTACGTCATCGTAGGAAACGACGACAATTAACTTCAGCGCGGATCGCGTTGGTCGGTATGCGGGGATGCTGCGAAGCTTTTCCGAGAATGTGCAGCCGCCACGCTTGATAACAAGGACTTCGTGATTATGGGCAACCTCACGGGGAATACCCTCGTCGCAGAGCTCGCCGGCGAAGTATATACTTGACCACGACAGGCGGTCTGTCGATGGGTTGCCGAGCAAGGACATTGTAACTGCATCTTCAATATCCGGAAGCGGGCTGGCTCCAATGCCTGAAGAGATAGCAGCGGGGAGAGTCAACCTGAGTGGAGCAGGTTCGGTCGGTTCGTTGTGAAGTAATGACGACACCGAGTGCATCAGAGACGATAGCATGGCCCTTACTGTTGAGTCCGGGGAGTCAACAATTGCGGCATCGTTGACAGAAGAGGCGGGGCTGTGGCCTGCGAGACGGGGCTCTGGCGGGTGTGGGCCTTCTGGTTGAGTTTCTTCATCCCGTGGATGAGCCGAATCATTGCGTCGGCGAGAGGGCTCTGGGAGAACGTCAATGACGAGGTCAAGCATGGCATTGTCGCGAACACGGGTGAAGTTCGGATCATACGGATCGACAACATCAAAGGTGATTTGGCGAGAGAGATATACCTTCTCATCTTTGCCTAATGGCACATTGTTGATCACCTGCACCCGGTACCCGTCTTCCTCCTCCCCAGTCGTGGCCGTCGGGGGTTCCAACCGGACATCCTGAACCATACTCAGTCGGAGTCCTCCAATTGTTTTTACAAGTACCCCGTCTAGGACACGCTCCAACGCTCCAGGTCCCATGTTTACACCGCCTGGGAGTGATGGGAATGAGATGTCGAGGGTGGGCCGAACGGCCATAGGCGCACTGGTGGCGTTGAATGGGACAAGTTGAGGTGGCAGCGTCCACGGGTAGAATGTGTAATTGGTTGGTGATGAAAGGTCAGACACAAAGACACTTTGATGTCCAGGTGAGCCTTGCAAAATAGGACCTGCGGCCACTCCTCGATCAGGCATCAAATCCAACCGTGCCAAATTGGCAGCATGGAAGATGTCTGTTCGGGATGCCGTGGAGGACACGCCGAAGAATGGAGAGGGGATAATTTGGCATACTCCCCCGGCGATGTCCTGGCCTTGAGATGGGGTTTGCGGCGGGTGAGGTGTGTATGCCGACTTTCTCGGAATGATGAGAGGATGACCTTCGGTGTTAAACACCCAGGGAGCATCGATCTTGTTCAATGGATGCTCCTGGTCAAACAGCAGGTAGAGATATTTGGCTGTCTCTCCAATGAAGAAGCTTTCCATCCGGTCAATGAGCTCACCAGTCAGAACATTTCGAATGCCAGCCCAACCACACTTGGTCCAGCAACGCCGCTTGAGGTCGCTGAGAACCATCTCTCCAACATGCAGATACCAAGGATCTTGAGTTGCGCGATAGATGTAGTAGTTGGACTCGATGAACTCAGGTCGACCTCCATACCACGGCATACCGTTGTCGATGTCACCAGTAGCCACGTTCCATCGTTCAGGGATGCCCGAGTAGCGTGTCCAAATGGCGGTAGTCAGCAAATGAATTTGAATAGCTTCATCTAGCTTTCCATCCAGGGCAAGAACTCCCGGATAGAAAGCGCTCAGACTATCAATCCAAAACGCTCTCGTGGCACCGGTGATCACATCCCCTACAATAAGGTGAGGATGTTGATAACCTTCGCCTCGGAATAGGTGGCGATTGATCGCGGTGTGCGATTCTTCCCAAACTTGTCGAAAGGCCTCGGCGGTATGCTGGTAGTCCGTCAGAGGAGCATAGTACGAGTCCAATGCTGCCCAAGGGCTGTCGGAGTTGAAAGGCAGACGCTCGCCCTCGGACAGAAGAACATGAGCTTTCACGGCATACTCGTAGAAGCTGTCAATTCCGGCGCCGATCTACTGACAATTAGCCTACGCTTGTACATGTCAAAACAGATCGTGCTTACTCCCGCCCATGGTCCCACCCATTTCCCCGACTCGACATCAATGCCAAACCCAAGCAGTCCGATATCACTCCGGTGGTTCCAGACCGCCCAAAATGCCCTCTTACCCAAGTCCTCATACCGCCCATCACCGGTGAGTCGGCTCAAGACGGTCAGTTCAAGGACTAGACTGCCTGCGGCGGCGCTACAAGTCTCAGCAGGCTCAGATGCCGAGTTCTTGGATTTGTGCCTGCCCTCGGCATCTCGGGTGTTTAAATTTAAAGGCGCATTCTCGTAGAATGGGATCCCGTGGCGCAGGTTGACCCGAGGGTAGGGAAGGCCCGTCTCTGTATAGAATGCGGGGAGCAAACGGTGGGCCAGATCCACAGCAAGTCGAAGTAGTTGGCCATCATAAACAAAGCCATTAGACCATGGAATGCCGTGGTCAGTCTTTTCAAACATACTTTTATCCCATGCGCTGGCGAAGGCAGCTTCCCGTTCTGATGGCTCGTATCCGGTGATAGGTAGCTCGCCGACGGCGAAGAGATGGGCACTGAGTAGTCCGCCTGAAGCATGTTAGTTAGCAGTAGGAAAATGCTGGAAACCGGGCACATGCGACATATCGATAAGTCGATAAGCTATGAAGGAGAAGTAATCATACCGAGTCCTCGAATCACAGTTTCAAACAATTGTACCTTGCTATCAAGATCAAAACCCCTCGCCCGTTCACCCTGACCAGCAGGGCCGTCCGAACCATCACCATACAACCTAACAAAACCCTCGACACCATCCTGGAAATGCGCCAAGGCTTGCTCGCCACTGTCCGGGCTCGAGGACAGGATGGCTAGTGTCGACAAGCTGTCAATCAAGGTCAGGGAATAATTCCCCAGCACATCATTATTCTCCGGGTTCTTCTCGTCGCGAACGAGAGGGCCGCATGTTAGGGCGCGTAATTCGTCTTCGGGGAACGCGTATTGGAGGTAGTTCTCGAAGCCATGGAAGAACATACGCTCAGTTTCTTGTCTGCGGGAGGACAGGGGTGTATTAGTTAATTTGCATGGCTGTTGAAGAGTATTGGCCGTAGCATATAGTATACCTTAGTTCTTTGACTTGGCTATCTCGCATACCATGAACGACGGTGAGCCATAACAAGATGGCCCAAACCACCATGCAGGCGGAGCGGAGGTTAAACATCACCTCCGTCGCGTGCGCTTCGAGCAGATCTGAGCGCCGTAAAGGTCATGGATGGGGCGCCAGATTGCCTTTTAACATTTAAGGCCTCTCTGAAAAGAGACTGTTCAAGGTGATCACCCTGTTCAAGTGGAGTGGGTAGGGGATTCGGACAGATAAGCCTCCGGGGAATCTTTTTTCTTCCCGCTTATTGCATCATTCCATACTATACTATGTATACTTGGTTTGTACAACTTATAGGTTGAATATTTATCAAAGGAATTCAGAGATAGATGTTGAATTTATTGAATTTATATATTTTTAGTCTTTGTGTAGGTCTTTGAGCATTCTTCTATAGACTTCAAGCGCTACCCTACTATAAACCATGGATACGGATACCAGATATAGAATACCCAATGGTAATGTACGAAAAGTCTTAAAAGGGTTGACTTTGATTATATTACTGGAAAAACCAAGCTTGAATTATTTACTCAAGTCGAAGGGAAGAAACAATTACACCTATGAAGAGGTAGCCTTACCTTACACTCGGAATTGCAAAAAGATATCAAAATGAGTAGCACTCTCCCTCATCAACCCTACTTGCCCAGCGAATCAAAGGTTATACATATAAAAGTCGTTCTGCACATTCTAAACCACTCTAGCTATAGCTCTAATAAAGGGAACATATTAAGAATAAAGATACAAAAGGAGTATCCGAGAAAGCATCCGAAATACCTTTGAACTTTGAAAAGGCTGCCACAAGACCGGTTATGAACATTCTTCCATAGGGTACATGGATAAAGCTAAGATCTACGCAAGCGCCTCAACACCTGCTTAACACACAACCACTGCAAGGTCACACTCTAAGCTTATATGTCAGCAACAGCAGACGCATCAGAAACATTCGATGGCAGGGGAACTCTCAGGCCACTGTCCACTGGTGGCAGAGCGAACATGTATGTGTATGCTGATCCAAGGGAGAGATCATAACCACGGCCTTTTGGCTCCCAGCCTTCACGCCTAAGTGCCAAAAAATATCTGACTACGCTGTATAATTGTACGCATAGTATGAAGACCTGTAGGATGTGCACGGCATGCCCGACGGCGTCTGGGACGTGGTGAGCTTCGCTCTCGATGGACAGATCTACGCTGGAGGTTAGTAACGAATCTTCCAGATACCTTGCATAAGTTGCATAAGTTGCAGCATTTGATGTAAGACTCACGGATCAAACTAAGTACCAAAACAGCGGTACAACATCGCTCAGTGCGGGGCTGCCACTTTTCCGATTCTGGCTTGACATTGGGCTCGAGGTAGAGCATGCGGTAGGTGATGGTGGTACCGGTGATAGAATCCACCTTGGAATAGTAAGGGAGTCCGGGAGTATATTGTGAAACAGACATGTTGCAGGATTTGAAGAGTTCGGTTGAGATGGAAGAAGGGAAGAAAGGAAGAAAAGAAGAAAAGAAGAAAAGAAGAGGAAGATGTTAAGGAGTACCTGGAAAGTCGAATACTTCATTCCTTGAAAACATAATACACTCATGAAGCATTACGTCTTAATTACATGTACTCACCTTGGGTACATATACATTTGAAAGTCTCATAGTTTGAGAAAGTAGAAAAGACGTTAGAAGACTGGAAAGTGCCTGAAACTTGCAATATATAGTATCTTTCTTCCGAAGATTGAAATAGCATGAACATGGTTATCTTACTGGAGACCGCGACTGGAAACGAGACCATCCGGTAGGCATTGAGGCGAGTGGACCGTTTTTGCTGGCTCTGATGTAGTGTTCGGGGGTGAGGTGTGAAAAGGTAGTATTTTCGGTGGGCTCGCTGCAGAGAATATTGGGTTTGATATCATCTTGCATTGGGATGAGATCGTGAGGCTGAGCCATGATATTGGGTGCGACGGAATAGATAAAGGTCAATTGAGAGTGGAAGAGCAGATCTCGAACTAGCCGGATATTTAGATTGTCCAACTCCTAAAGTGTTCCAAGGTCAACCTAATACAAAAGCTGCATAAGACTGTTGTAGATAACCTGAAATATATCCAAGAGCAGAATTGCTTTGAAATTTAGTTCTTATTGTACAATTCATAGATCCGGATGCATAGCCGGACAAGTCACCTCTGGAAGCTGAAAGATGCTCTCTGACTTGATAGCACAAGCCGTGTCCAGATCGGGAACGGATGCACATGGCATTTTGAAAAAATGAATTTGACGCCCGCTGATCTTCATTAAAACATTAATACCTATCATATATGCTTATTTGCCCAGCTCTCCAAGTACCAGGTTCCGATCGGAGGAACAAGAAACGACTGTGACCATGTTAGAAACTGTGGGCTTGCTTGCAAACAGGGGATATACTCACTGATCGGTTCATCGTTGGGGGAGAAGCGCACGTCATTGACAGTGCCCTTATGACCGGGAAGTTTATACAGCAATTTACCGGTCTTGGCCTCCCAAACAACCACACTTCGATCGCCACTGCCTGCAGCAATCTTCTCGCCCTTCGGATCCCAGCTGGCACGGATGAGGTTCTTCTCCAGTCCGACAGGAGCGCCATCGTAGGTCTTCACTTGACGGTTGGTAGGGGCGAAGGGACGAATGTCCCATGTGCGAACAGTAGAGTCATGAGAGTTCGATAGCAAAGTCTGTGAGTCTGGCGAGATTTGTAGCGATGTGATGGTATCTGTGTGTCCGGCCATCGAGTAGACTATGGCCTTCTTCCGAATGTCCCAGGCGTGGATTGTATTATCAATACCTCCACTGTAGATCTCATTACCCGCTTCGGACAATGCCACCGCGGTAATGGGGAGTTCGGTCTGGAGGTAATCCAGAGCGTCCTTCTGGCGAGGATCCCAGATACCGATGGACCCATCATCACTACCACTGACTAGAAGCTCCTGTCCTCGTTTGCTGATGTCGAGACAGTTGATGATCTCCTCATGGCCTACGTGACGACGTACTCGTTCCCCGGTCTCGACATCCCAGCTTCCGAGGGTCATATCTGCGGATGCCGAGAACAGTGCCCGCGAATCGCGTGACCACTGAAGATCCAACACAGCTCCCCGGTGACCTGTCAATTGACCGTAGTTTTCGCATTGTCCGTATGTATTCCACAGTACTATTCAAGAATCTTGATCAGTAACATATTCGGCGGCCGCATTCCCGGATAAAGATGAGGCATACAGATGGAACGATCCATGGATCCAGATGCGATATGTTGCGCGGTAGGGTCGAATCGAACTGCGAAGACTTCACCAGAGTGGCCTAATAGGTTCCTTCTATTAGCGCGTGTATGGCGACAAATTGGCGACAATATCTTACCAGTCAGTTCCATGATAGGAGCATCCAACCCACTTGTGCGAGGAACCTGTAGACTCGAGTTAGCTGGTTATATTCCGTGAAAGACCCTTGAGCTCTGAGGATAAACTCGGCGCATACAGATTGAATGAGAGCTCCATTTTGGGAGGAGCCCTTCACAAGCTCGGTTCCTGCGTTTTCGGCGGCCTTGTTCCGCTTGACCACGAGCTGGTGCGAGGTGCCAAAGCCCTCTGGAGCAGGGCGCTTTTCACCAGACATTGTCACAGCAAGCACCTCGGTTTGAATTTGGAGAGGTAAAAGAACTGATTGGTGACCAATCGCGACTTAGGGCGAAAGTAGTGGAGAGCAAAAGTTCAGGGCGAGAAGCTGCGGGAAGAACGATAATCCCACCTGGGCTCGGCGGTGAGCGAGCTTTGTCCGGCGGACGAAAGCGACCATCGAAACTTGATCGTGTTGGGGTCATTTTTGCCTGGCAGAAAATAACCTGGTCATTTACCCCACTCACCAAGTACAATGAGGATCAATCAAAAGGCGGAGAAAAAGGCGGCGAATCAAAACAACCAATAAAATAAAAGACTAAAATGGTCAGTCTCGTCGACTGTAGGACGACTGTGTACAATCAGCAACTCCAACAATCACGGACTCCCCACAATCACCCTGATCAACAGTTGACAGTCACATTTACCTGTGTTTGTCTGGATTTTACTTATTTTTCCTCTTTTACCAACCACCAGAGCTACCAGAGCATAACCCCAAAGATGTCGTCCACGAAAACCTCAAGAATAGGAGAAGAGTAAGTTGAACTCCCAAGGTCGGATGTCTTATTCAGTGGACCTTCTACTAATCAATGACATTTGAACAGAGTATGGAAGTCAGTAAGCCCCAGTGCCCGAATACTGGGACCTCAGAAGCGATGACCAATTGACTTCGCTTTATCTCCGTCCTCGAACTCGAACTAATCGGCTTTCTTCACATGCGCAGAACAAGAGTCGATAAGGTCAACGCGGAGCTGGTCACATTAACCTACGGAACAATTGTCGCACAATTATGCCAAGACTACGATAGCAACTACCAGGATGTCAACAAACAGTTGGACAAGATGGGATACAATATCGGAATGCGACTCATCGAAGACTTCCTGGCCAAGTCAGGTGTCGGCCGATGCGCCAATTTCCGGGAGACAGCTGATATGATCGCGAAGGTGGGAGCCACTCCAGGACATGGAGAATGGAGATAATAAAGCTATGATGGCTGACAATCCGATTAGGTTGGCTTTAAGATCTTCCTTAACGTCACACCTACAGTCACAAACTGGACGAGTGATAACACCCAGTTCTCCCTTATCTTTGAAGACAACCCCTTGGCGGACTTTGTGGAGCTTCCCGATGATGGGCGGGCTCAGGACGAGCTATGGTTCTCCAATATTTTGTGTGGCGTCCTCCGGGGGTCCCTGGAGATGGTAAGTTACTAGCACCCCGGTCAATTGGAGTGGGTTCCCTTGTTTTTGGCCCGATCACTGACCCGGATTTTAGGTTCAAATGCAGATCGAGGCGCACTTTGTCAGTGATGTGCTGCGCGGAGATGATACCACGGAGATGCGGGTCTCCCTCGTACGATACATTGAGGATGAGATGCCACCGGAGGAAGAGTAATAACCTTGTGAGATGTGCATTTACACTACTTGAAGAATGGGCGTTCTGGGTTTCCTCGTTGGTCATTTTTATTTTTATTTTAGGGGGATGGGGTTCTTTTTGCCCTTACTCGTCATTATTGCTTCCGATAATCACTCTATTTGTACACCTGTCTTTTCGCGAATTAGGGTTTATGATATATCCTGCACTAAACCACGCGATTTACCACTGGCATAGGTTGATACATTATAAGAATTCATTTTAGAATCAAATCTAGAGAAAGAAAGAAAAAGGACCTGGGAATAAGGGCATGGTTAGGTTGCGATCAGTCCATCCAAATCTCATGATCTCCCTTTTTTTCCTTTTTATACGTGCAGATCCTCGGCGAATCTGCCGTTCAGGAGCTTGATCGGTATGGTCATGACCAAACATGTATTGTAGAGTAAACGTGCAGTTCGGTCTAGTAAATATAATATATATAATTTCCTGTGGGCACCTAAATAGCGGTCAAAGGGACATCCAAGTCCGTGTATTTGTCAAGTATTGTATGTCACAAACGAAACACGATACCGGTTCTGTACCACTATCTCCGCCACCCCTCAACTCTTTACAGATCGAATTTCCCTCCTTTCCATCTTTTCTCAACCTCTACCTAGGCAGGACTTTTCCACAGCAATTGATTCTTCTCTCAATTTGTTCAATTTCCTAGATCGCTCCATCTTCGGTATATTCAACCTTCGTGGTGGTCGAGAAATAGTGGCTTACCCTTACTTTTTAGACTCCCGCTGGGATCCATCGCAGGGCCCATCAGGTATCATATCACCCTGACTTTCCTTCCTGCTTCCCTTTCTTTTTTCTATATCTGTTCAAACCACCATATTCCCACATATATATCTTATTTCTTTTTCGATAATTCGCTCACGACTGTTTCTATTTTGTTGCAGGTCGCAAATTCAATGGTTATCAGATCGGTGCATTCCCAGAAATACGCTTGACAGCGCCATCCCCAGCCCCGACCTCCGGCCAAGTTGATCCGCTCCGAACAAGCGATTCTCCCGCAGAGCGCAGCGCCTGTCAATGTACGTCCCCCCCGGCTCTCTCTCACTGAATCCGTCCTCCTCTTCCCACTGTGAGATCCACATCTCTTACAGACTCCCCTTTTCTATTCTTAATCTGTTCTTTTTTTTTCCATTTCTTGTCCTTGGGTCTTCTTTTTCTTTTGTACACGGGCTTGGTGCTCTCCTGTCCGCGATTCTGCCCGATCGGGTGTCTGGCGCCGCCCCCCATACCAACCACCTCACTTGTGCGCTTTTTCCGCCTCCCTTGTACCTCCGTCATCGCCCACCCCCATATAGACTGCGCACTTGCTCCTGCACTTGGTCATTTGAAGCGTTTAATCCTCTGGCAAGCGCTCATCAATTTCTCCAGTCAGAGACACCGAACACACTTCGTCTGCGCCTCCGAGCCTCCATCCTCTCGTTTCTACCCCGTCGCGTGGTTTCTTCGGAAGAAGACGCCACCGGTGATCCTGAGCTCCCTTATATTTTGCGATAATATACCCGTTTCATCTTTCGCACACGCGTTGCTCAGCTTGCGAATATTCGATATTTCTTCGATAGCGCTGACCGCTTTGCCTCCGCATCAATTCCCACGCGTCGCTTCTATCACCCCGCGTTAGGCTTGATAGCCTGAAACGGAGGTCGCGCGTCGGAAGCTTCTTACATCCGATTTGAAAATCTCACGATACAACAGGCAAGGGTGGCTGCAGTCCCACCGTTCGCCACCATGAACCAAATGAATGTCGGGATGAACCCCGGGGCTGGGGGCCCTGTAGGTGGGGTTCCTATGATCAACAACGGATCCACGGCTTCTCGTAACGACGGCACTATGAACAACCCCGAAATCATGATCAACAACCTCAACACCTATATCTATGATTACTTTTTGAAGCGTGGGTACCATGACTGCGCCCGCGCTCTCTTGCAAGATGAAAACATCAAACTAAACACCGACAACAATCCCAAGACAAGTCCCGGAAATCGGCGTGATGGCGATGTCAATGGCATGGACCCTGATGCCATGATGACCGATGGGAAGGATGGTGACAAGATTAAGATCCCAGATGATCTCCCTCGCCCAAATATTCCCAACGAGAGCCCCTCCTCATTCCTCCTTGATTGGTTCAGCCTTTTCTGGGAGTTCTTCTGGGCTCAACGCAAGAAGGGAAATAGCACTGACATTAGGCAATACCTACAGCACAACCAGGTGTGTGAACGATCGTCTTCATTGAGGGTTTGGAAGATGGACTAATCCTGATTATTCTTCTAGAACTTCATGCGTCTGCGAGAACAGCAACACAATCAATTTATGAGGCAACAGCCCATGATGCCCGGCCAAATGAACCAGCTCCGGAGACAGAATGGCATGGTACCTCCTAACCTGCAGAAAACAGTGCTGCAGAACAACACCACTGGACTGTATGCTCTATCTGAATATCTTCTTCCCCATGCGGAGTGTTAAGTTGGGGGTGGACGTGCTGATGAGATCCTTTCTAGCTCGCAACAACAACAACAGATGGCGCAGTACCAGAAGACCCAGCAGTTGCAAATGATGCAGCAAATGCAACGGGATCCGGACATGGAGATGGGAGGACATCGACCACAGTCACCAGCCTCTGCCGACAACGCCCCCTCACCGTCGAAACGCCCACGTCTTGAAGGCGCCGTCAACGGACAGCAACTGGCACCGAATGGCCGTGGACAAGTACAAGGAATGCCTGGACAGCCCAACCCGCAGGCTATAATGATGCAGAATGGAATGCAGAGGGGAATGACCCCGGCGCAATTCCAGCAGTTCCAGGGACAAGCTGCGCAACAGAAATCTATGCAGGTATATGCTCAAAACTTGGCCCTTCATCACTCTCGCTCAGCATCGAATTCCCAGGGTATCCCGAATGGTGGCATGATGAACCCCGGTGTTATGGCGAATCAGGCGGATCTGGTGCCGATGCCGGATGGCCAGGGAATGTATCCCATGGCCGCTGGCCCTGAGTACTACGGTGCAAACGGTCAACTCGCCCAGGTCCGACCCGGTGGTTTACAGACACCTGGCAGTCAGCATGGTAACCATGCTCTTCAAGATTATCAGATGCAGCTTATGCTGCTTGAACAGCAGAATAAGCGGCGTTTGATGATGGCTCGTCAAGAGCAAGATAGCATGGCCCGCGCTGACGGCCAGCCCCAGATGCCCGGACAGGGAGGTTTGCCGCCAGGCACTTCCCCGGGCAGCAGGGCGGGCGCGTCTCCCAATCCTAGCGACCAAATGAAACGAGGCACACCTAAGATGCCTCCGACTGGACTTCCCGGGTCGCCAAGCGCTGGCGACATGTCTCAGCGTGGATCCCCCGGATCCATGAACCTCAACGGTGGTCCTATGCCCCCAGAGATGGCAGCTCAGTTCTTCCCTGGACCGAATATGCGACCTCCTAGTTCTAACCCTGCCTTCACTGGAGCCCAAATGGGTCAGCCGATTCCGGCCAATGCCGGCCAGCGTATGCCTAGTGGACAATGGCAGCCAGGACAACCGCAGATGCCTCCGCAGCATTCGCCTGCGAACCAGCCCCAGGCTGGAACCCCGCAGGAACGAAGCGCGATGCCTCCGCCCTCGGCGCCACCCGTCACGGGTCCTAACGCTGGTCGTGGCCAGCCGGCGTCACCGCAGACGGCTGGGAACGCGCCACCGACGCCCCAGCAGGCTACTAAGGCTCCACCCAAGGGCAAGAAGGAAGCTAAGGACACCCGCAAGGTTTGTATACTCTCAAATGATGTAATCTTTGTATCCGCTAACTTGAATTCAAGCGACCCAACAAGAAGCAAGCTGCTGCTGCTGCTGCCAGTGCGGCCGCAGGCGCGACTCCATCCACGGAAGCCGCAGAGCCACCGACCCCATCGACCCCCGTCACCCCCCAGCATCCTAACTCTTTCAATGCTAAGAATGGAGCGAATGGAGCGAATGGGCCAGCTCAACCGGCACAGCCTACCTCGGCACCTGCTCCTCAGACTATGGTGCAGCAGCCCCCTGACCAACAGCAATCCTTCACTGACCTCAGCATTCCTGATGTATGTTCTTCCACCATCTCGCCTGCCACAATTGTGCATTTACTGACTCTTATCAAAGGCTTCTGCATTCAACCTTGACTTCAGCGCACTGGAAAATCCAGACATTCTGGAGAACTTCGACTTTGACACATTCCTCAACACGGATGCCGACGCCACTGGATTTGGGTTCGACCCCAGCATATCCTATTCGGCCGATGGTGTTGAGACAGGTGCTGGTGATGGCCTGTGAACGTGTAAAAGTCTTGACGGTCCTTCAGGTGCTTCACCTCCGATATACCCTTGTTTGTACATTTGATCATTGCTCTAGTGCGTTTTCGCGGATACTCGATATATTCTGTTTTCTTGTCTCCCAATTATCTGGATATGTGTGTTCTGCGCATGTGCTGTTGTGAGATTGGCGTTGTTGTATCTTGTTCATCGCATCCTCTCCTGTGCCTCCCCTTGCTCGTCCTATGAAGCCAGCATCCACCGACTGATACCAGGGACTGCTTGGATTGACCGGGGCTCTTCTGTATTCGAGATTAGTGCACTGTGACCTACGAGTTTTCTTGGCTTCTCTTCCTTTCTTTCTATTATTACTACTATTACTTGTGGATGTGGTTACTTAATTCCTTGCTTTGCCTTGTCTGTACGGGCAACGTTGATACCTCTCAGTATGAAGTCCAATTCCCTACGGCTGATCCAGTGCACTTTCTTCCTTTCATTTCCCACGATTTCCTTTATATTTTTTTTGTCACCTCTTCTCTCTTTTGATTCATCTCGAACAATCTTCCAACAAATGCCGGCCGTTTTTTCTTTTCTTTTTGCCTTTGATTACCAGCATCACTGGTAGTGGGCTCTTCCATCTCTCTGCTTTTATCACCCAGGCTATATATCCTGTGGTTTTCTTCTCTTCTCCTTTTCTTCTCTCTCCACCTTGCCTGTACTCTCGGACCAGACCCAGATACCCCTTCACCCCGTTCCAGCCCGTGTCATCCCTGAAACCGGGCACAGGAGGGACCCGAAGGGAAATGGGACTGGTACAAAAAGGAACCAACTTAAAAGAACCAGGAATTCCTCGACTCTACTTGTTGTCGCTGTTGGTGTTGGTGTGTTGATGGGATGTGACCGGATTGATATTGGATTTGGATATTCCCCTGCTAGCAGATTCTAGGAGTTTCGATGTCGTTATGGTTATGCGTTTCATGTTATTTTTTTTGGTCTCAAAATATGGATCCGAATTCATATCTGGATAGTTTTTTTCCGTCCAATTCCCTCCAGTCTCCAGTATTAGGAGTTGTACGTAGACACACAGCCTGCATGATAGAGATAGTACAAGCAAGTCAATTTAGTAGCCTGATCTTAATGCAGATCTGAAGTTCTTTGTGGACTGTCTACTCAGTAAGTCTCCAAGTCTTACACGTATGTCATCTTGATACTGTGTCCCTACATTGGGAATCGGAAGTCCATAATGTTACTTTTCCTAATTGGGAAGGGGCCTCACATATAAAGTCCCCCCATTTCCTCTCTTCTCCTTCTCTTTCTCTTCCCTCTTCATACTTCCTCTCTCCCATCCTCTCCCCCATCTCCTCTCCCCTCCATCTTTCCTCTCCCCTCCATCTTTCCTCTCCCCTCCATCTTTCCTCTCCCCTCCATCTTTCCTCTCCCCTCCATCTTTCCTCTCCCCTCCATCTTTCCTCTCCCCTCCATCTTTCCTCTCCCCTCCATCTTTCCTCTCCCCTCCATCTTTCCTCTCCCCTCCATCTTTCCTCTCCCCTCCATCTTTCCTCTCCCCTCCATCTTTCCTCTCCCCCTCCATCTTTCCTCTCCCCTCCATCTTTCCTCTCCCCTCCATCTTTCCTCTCCCCTCCATCTTTCCTCTCCCCTCCATCTTTCCTCTCCCCTCCATCTTTCCTCTCCCCTCCATCTTTCCTCTCCCCTCCATCTTTCCTCTCCCCTCCATCTTTCCTCTCCCCTCCATCTTTCCTCTCCCCTCCATCTTTCCTCTCCCCTCTCCCCTCCATCGTCTACCATCTCTCCTTCATCCATCCTGTGAAGCACACTCTCTGTTTCTTCCCCTTTGCATTTATTCCATTCTTCTCTGCTAGCTATACCTGTTTTCTCTTTTCCTGTCAGTCTTCCCCGCTGTTTTTCCTGATCATGTTGTACTATGCTGATGCTTGCATGATCTGCCGTCTTATACGGACACATGACCTGTGTGGGACAACAGTATATTTGCAGTGCATCTGGGATATTTACGGTACGTTCTTTCTGCACATGAGACGAAATCTAGCTGACATTTTTGGTTGATTAGGTACCATCGTCTCAGTCTTTCGACCGTTGGTTTGGAGCAGGTTTCGAGACAACCCTTCGAGGCCACAGTTCGCTGTGGGATTCCTATTCTGAAGGCTGCCACTGATCACACGTTCCAAGGCTGATGCTTGAATGCTCCAACAGGGTGATGAGTCTTCTTATGTCACCCAAAGGATCATTGATAAGGCCCCGTGTACTCACGAGACAACGCATGGCTGACATTTGTCCTTTCACAGGTACACCAGTCAACCAATACTCTGACCTCCGGCTAGAAACAGCTTTCGACACAGTCTTTCAACGGAAATGTGAGCTTGCCCCGTGAAGAGGATTCTGAGGGCATTCTTTGACGTCTGACTGCGCGCAAGCGTATCACGTCTCTGGAAGCCCGGGCTCTGAGACCCATTGCGGTATCGTCCCGGGGGAGCTGAGTGATGGGCTATCTGAGACCCCGTGTGGCCTCGACCCAGAGGAGTGGGGTTGCCCCGTGAAGAGGAATCTGAGGGCATTCTTGACGTCTGATTGCGCGCAAGCGTATCACGTCTTTGGGGAGGTGAAGGATGGGCTATCTGAGACCCGGCGTGGCCTCGTCCCAGAGGGGGAGGACTCCGATGGCAGACAGGGGGAGGATACGGTACATAGGACAGTCACCCACCGAGGGTATGGGCTTACATCCTACGCGATGGGAGGTGGAGGATAACTTATGGGTCCCGAGGAATACATTTCCGAGGGCTTACATGCATGGATTCTCTGAATCCTTGGGTGGCCACAGACGCCATCAAACTCCAAATTTTTGGGACTTTTTCACCAGAGACAGCACTCTGGTTGTCCGAAGAAAACTCTGAGGGCATTTCCAACAGCTTGATTCATTGCACTTCGAATCTCGCTGTTGAGACGGATACTTACACTCTGCAAGTTTGACCTCGGTCTACTTGTTTGTCTTGTCTCTGCTACCACTTGAACCTTTCGCCAGGGACAGCGCCCTGACATTAGATAGTATCTGAATCAATCATTCTTTTCATTTGATTTCCTTTTGTAACAATATGTATCCTTGTAGAGGGTTTGATCCTGAACTGGTCTAAGATATCCCCGTATATCCAAACTAAGTAATACTTGAATACGAGTCCAATATTTGAACAAAACTTTAATAAAACTTGCCGTCAACGTTATAATCTGGCGGTAAAGATATGTATACCTTGAATATACAATTGCCAGATCCACAACTACAGAAAACGAGTTCGAATATCCTGGAGTTTACTAATATCAGAGAGATACTTCGAGCATGGTTAGTATAAGTGTCTTGCAATGCTACTCAAGGGGTCATTTTGCTCTTGTAGTGACCTGGGAAGCAGTCGTAACACGCTATTTAGAAGATTTCTGGATACAATGTCCCTTTGGAAGTCTGTTAATTACTGATGTTGGCACAAAATGTAGAATATAAGGCCATGAAAACAGTGTACAGTGTGATGTAGCCAACTACATATCACGAGAGATCCTTTCCATTAGTCCAATAGACTGGGATATCTCAATCCGATTATTTACTACTGTCTTTTATACCACGAAATCCACCGAGCATCTAAACCAACAGTGTGCAGCCTCGAATCATCCACGAAAGGCAAGCTACCAATCCATATCATCTATCGAAAGTTACCGAGGGTCGGGCATTCCCCTGAGAAATCGAATTTGACCAGGCTGGTTTCATTCTTGGAGCTCAGGATATGCTTGATGCAATGCAATGCTATATTGCTATGTCTCCAAAGACCCCAGGGTCAGTGTGGTCGACTATGTTGAACTCGAGTGGAGTGGAAGCAGGGCGATTCCATGCGGTACCGATGATGTGGCATTGCATGCATGGAGTAGCACTTCACATAGTGAAAGAGTGATAAAGATCATTCGCAATATCATGCAGTAGAACACGCATTGATTGAAGTTCGCATAGAACAGTATACCTATCGACTCCACGCGTAGAAGGTATTGATTGAAGTTCGGACAAAGATGTAGCATTGTCGACTTCACAGATACATGGATTGCATTTCATCTAGAACGGTATTTCTGTTAAATTTAGTTAGTATAAGGCGTATCAATTGCTTAGAACGGAGTCATACATTTACCTATGAGCTTCATGTAGTAAAAAGTGTTGATGAACGTTCGCATAACACGTTTGCTAGCTTCAAGACACTGCAAGAGTATCGATTGGGGTCAGTATACAAAAGTACACTTCTCAACTTCTATAGCAAAATACGTAGAAGTCGAACTTCATATGGAACGTATACCTATCAATTTTGATTGGTAAAAGACGTATCATTTGCAACTAGAATAAGAGTTTGTACATTTATTGTTAATTTGATGTAGTAGGAATTAATCGAAGGTCACATAATGTATGTTTGTCGATTGAAGTCCATATACAACAGTATATTTGTCGGCTCCACGGAGTAAAAGGTGTATTGATTGAAGCTCGCATAAAAGATACATGTCGGCTTCATGTTAAGTCTAAACTAAAACAAATGAATGAGGTAGGTAAGTATAAGTCGAAAAGCATCACCACAGCCAGTTCGATCCTACAAAACCGACTCATTCTCGTCCTGTGCATTTTCGACATCCTTAGAATTGCAGCTTTCCTTTGCAGTCTCCTTACCGTTAGACTGCGCTTTTGGGGTCTCCTGAGTGGCTTCTTTCTGGGTCTCTTTTTTGCTCCTGACTTTCTCACTTGGACTCGTCCCAAGTTTGGATGATATCAAGTTCTTGGGCTCGCTCGAACCCGAAACATCACGGGTGCTTGGTTGTGAAATCTCTCTGAGTGCGGATGCACGGCGGCTTCGAGTCTTGTAGTTTGCAGATCGAGCTTCAGCTGCAGCTGAAGTCTTTGAGGCAGACATTGTAGTAGCAGCAGTGGAAGGAGTATTAGAGGGTGCACGAGTACCTGCTGGAGGCGCTTTCGTTGGAGTCAGAGCTTGGATCAGTTCATTGTATTGCTCATCGTCAAGGCATGAATTGATACTGGGTTGTTTGCTGTGTTCGTAGCTCATCCCAGTCATGCTAGATGAAATAGCCCGGCTGCTGGTTGATCCCGTAGAAGCATAATCTGGCATTGGGATATCCTCACGGGAGGATCGAGCACCACGCTGCCGCCATGCTCTATCATCAACAAAGGCTTCCATGGCAGGTTCCACAATGTATGCATCCTGCGGGTCCCATCGAGGTTCTTGGGGATAACCATTCCACTGCGTGGAAGGAATTGGAAAGCCACGGTTAGGAGTCCAAGCATTGTAAGTCGATGAAGTACTGCCGCTGTAAGTAGCTGCATTGCTGCTGGACTGGCTACTCGTGTTTGCCGTGATTATAATTCGATGTTCGGGTCTGCCAGGTTTGCTTGGTGAATGCCCATGGGCGCCATCGCCAACTACCTTGGAGGTACCATATCTCGCTGCCGATCCATACCGGGATGCGTTCGGCATAGCAAGCCACATGTTGGGATTGGGCCAAGCAATATCGGAGAATTCCAGCACATCTAGTGGCGCATGCTGGAAAGAAAAAGCAATGACATGCTTGTATCGTTCGAATGGGGGCGAGCGATTGGGGCGAGAGAAACCTTCTGCAATGACAACCTTGATTCTACCTTGAGAATCCCCAGCATCCCAATGTTTCTGCTGAAGTATCTCAGAATGAAATTGAGGGAATCGAAGGGTGTCTTGGTTTCCATCTCGGTCAAGATCTGCTTCAACTGTGAGAACTTGAAATCAAAAAAAGGGAGAGGAAAGGAATCGCATACTAGAGCTCAGATCTGCCAAATAAATGTCAGTAGCTATTCAATAAATAAAAAAACAAGACAGAGGAAATTTCTAGAACCTTGGAACTGCGTTCCGACGATGTAAGCGACGATGTAAACGCGCGCGCAACTTACCCATAATCTGTGGCCAAGTAGTTCTCTGTCCATAGATACTGCCCCTGGAAGGAATCAGCCTAATCCCATCATCAAAGTGCATATATCGTAGAATACTCACGCAGCAAAAACCCCATCAATGAAGATCCGAACCTCGAAGAGTAAAACGTCCTCTGGTTCCATGTTGGACTCGATCTGGACACTGGGACGTGGCTTCTCCCAACTATGAACTGAGGCTTGGAATGGACTGTCTTTGGATAGACTTGGGATGAATGTTGTGAGGACCGGTAGCTGGTTAAAAGCGCCTTGCTCGGGATGGTGCGCATGAGAGCCAAGGAAGGCCGTACTGTGTAGATAGGGCGAGTCTTTATCCTTGGTCACAAAGCATTGTGTCTTGAACTCTTGGATAGGAACCTTCGAGCCTTCAGGGAAAAGAAGGACATCCCAGTTTCTGTAGCGCATGGTGTCATGGATAATAAAAGGATGAAGGATGGACTGCTCATGTCGAAGGTGGTCGAAGCTGGGTATATACAAAATGGAAGCCGTGTGAGCGGTATATACAGCAACAGGGTCGTTGTTGCCCAAAGTAATATCCAAGCCTATCGATAGGCTATCGATAAGAAGTAGACGTCTATGGACAATTTATGCAATTTGAAAATTCACTTATACTCATGCAGTGAACACTAGCCCTAAGGACTGTAGCCATATAAGCACTCCAGGAATTAAAGAGATGAAGGGCCGGAACTAGATACATTCCAATTTCTAGGAAATAGGAAGTTTACAATGGCCCGTAATAATTGTCTCAGGATCAGTTCATGTGAAACCTTAGCCCTAACCCAGTAGACCCTCAAAACATCAGATAGAACAGGAGACAACAGACAGCAATACATCAATACAATCACCAGAGACCATCTGCCTGAGCAACCAGATATGCTTGAGTCCATTGAAGCCTCCACCTATTGGACCAGCCATAGGGGCAATGTTTATATAGGTAGATCCAAAAGCAAAGGGCCGACAATACAATACCAGGAAAATGGAGAGCTCGATAGTGCAGGGCAAACACCAAACAAGCATACAGGACATTATTGCATACGATCAAAGGAATTTAGAATCGACAAACGCTGAGGCGCACGAAAGAAAGCGTGTTGTACAAGCCGGCAATCAGTCTTAACAAGGAAGAAACAGGGGTAAAAAAAAGGCACGGCGCAAAGATTCTCAAAGCGAACATAATTCAATTTAGCTGCTTGAAGAAAAGAGAAAAAAAAAAGAAAAAAAAGGAACAAAGGAAATAAGGTGGTAACGGTGGGGGAAATGGAACTTTTCGCAGAATGCCTGCCCAAGGAGTATAAGGGAAAAAGAAGCGCATGACAATTCGGACTTCCATTACACGCAGACAAAGACCCAGTGGCGGGAAACCCCGTTAGCATAAGGGCAGAGACATCGAAAATAAGATAGCGAAAAAAATAATAAAATACGAAAAGGTGGCAAAGGAGGAGTGTGGGGGGAAAAAAGGGAAATCAAAGGAAAGATACATAAGAACAAGACAGATCAAAAAGGGGATAAAGCTCAGATCTTGCTAAGGTAATAGCGCTCACGTAAAAAGGAAATGCGTAGCACAGGAGACAAATGCTCATCAAGAGCTATAGCCTTGGCCAAGAAACCAGGGAACGAATTTGTTACACAATAGAATCATCATTGGAATGACACAAATAACTCCTGCTGGTGCTTTCAATCAAAGGGAAACGCTTACTGGAAGAGTGTGTCAGCCGACCGCCTGCTTCACATTTGATCCGGGATCGGGCTGCCAGGGTGATCGCTCACCTTCATGGGGGCAAACCCGCCATACTGGTGGGCCGGGGGCATGCCCATGGAGGGGTACATGGGAGGCGGCGGGGGAGCAGGGCGGTAGGGGCTGCCGGCGGGGCCGGAGTTGTTCTGGGAGCGGCCCCAGCTCAGGCGGACGCGGGAGTTACCGATGGGGTAGCCCTGCATCTGGTTGATGGCCATCTCGGCGGCGTGACGCTGCACGAATTGGACGAAACCACAGCCCTTTCCGGGGGGAATCTTGACGTAGGTGATTTCTCCGAAGCCCTGGAAGAAGGAGCGGAGCTCATCCTCGGTGACGTAGCCGGACAGACCACCGACGAAAACAGTGGTGTTGTTGGGGTCCGTGAACTGGTTCATGGGCTGGGGAGCACCGTAGAAAGGCATAGGAGGACCACCCATGGGAGGGTACATGCCAGCGGGACCGGGCATACCCATGGCAGCACCACCGTTGCCACCAACACCGGGACCCTTGTTCTTGGGAGTAGCGGTGGAGATACGCATGGGGCGGTTGCCACAGTAGACACCCTGCATCTCGGTGAGAGCACGCTGCTGGTCGTTCTCGTCGGAGAAGCGAACGAAGCCGTAGCCGCGGGACATGCCGCTGATGGGGTCGGTCATGATCTTAGCAGACTTGCAAGAGGGGAAGCGGCTCTGGAAGAGGGAGACGAGGACGTATTCGTTCACCTCCGGGCCGAGGTCACCAACGAAGATGGAGTACTCGGGGCCACGGTCATCACGGCTGGAACAAGAGGGGGTCAGTTTAGAGACGGGAGGAAACGAAACGAACGAGATTCTCGCTTACCTGCGATCGGCAAGGCCACCACCGGTAGCCCAGTTGAGCTTGAAGACCCGGTTGGTGTTGGGCATCGGGGTACCGTTCAGAGAAAGGGCCTTGGCAGCGGCAGCAGGGGAAGCGAAATCGACGAAGCAGTATCCAGCATTGCTCCTACTACCCACATTAGAAACAATCTTGGAAATTTCAGACGATAATTACGGTGTCTTACCCAGAGAACTTGTCACGGATCATCTTGACGTTGACCTGCTCGCCCATCTGGAACCAGAGGTTGCGGATGAAGTTCTCGTCGATCCAGGGCTCGAGCTCACCCATCCAGAGGGTGGTCTTGCCATCGGCACCCTGCTGGGGGACGGGAGCGGAGTTGGCGTCACCAGGAGGGGGTCCCTGGAACTGAGCGGCGGAGGGGTCGGCCTGGCCGGTCATAGTGGTATCAACGGGAGCCGGGGCACCGGCGGCGGCGGGGTCCTGCTGAGGGAAGTTTTCGTAGCCGTTGTAAGACATGGTTGCAAGAATCAAAGTCCGGAAAGTCGACGTAAGAATATAAGATGGCTGAGCGACTAGAACTTCGTGGAGTCGTTAAAGAAAGACCGGCGTGAGATCAAGTCGTAACGAAGCCAAGCAAAGAGACGGGCGTGAAAGGCTGGTAAAAGATATAAATGTTAGATTATATCGATGTCGATTGAAATTAGATCAGATCTGCACATGCGCAGGCAAAGAAATGGAAGCGAGAAGTGAAAAGCAGACAAAGGCACTCAGTCAAAGCAAGTGAATGAAACGACACGGAGAGAAAAAAAAAAGTGGGTAGTCAGCATTTTGCGGGTTCTTCAGGCGCATATATGATTCCGAGCCTCAAAAAAGAGGTGCCGGAAATCGCCAAGACCAGTGCTTCGGGTAGCATCTCATCTTAATGAGATGGTAGCTAGGATTGGAGGGTGGATTGGCCGAAGACGAACAATCCAAGAGCGAAAATTGGACGCGCGAGACGAAAATAGACTTGTTTCCACTTGGATTGCTAGGCGACCATCATGCGTCGACCGTTTCCGTCGTTACGGTTCAATGTCCGAATGCGACCGTCCGCCCTCTCAATCCAGCACAATTTTCAGGCAATTCAGGCATCCAGACCTGACCGATTCCTCGTATTGACGATGATTTTGAGGTTGGAGTGTGTGCGACCGGTAGATAATCGTCTGTCCCGAAAGCGCTGGTCAAGGCGAAGGCGTTGGAAGCGTAGGCGAATCACCATACTAAAATCGTGGAGAACCCTGCAAAGAAGCTTGCGATCTAGGGCTAACTTGCGCTGCGCCGCGCCAGGTAATATGTATGGGGAGAGGGCATAGTTTATTGAAACGATGAAACAGGCGATATGCGACAAAAAAAGACCAACTTACCTAGATGATTTGAGGAAAACCTGGGAAAACACTGGAAATGCGCGAGGCAAAAAAAGAGTAATCGGCAACAAGGGAGGAAAAGCAGAACTCCCGATAAACTAAACAGAAAATTGAAACCGAGATCTTCGAACAATAAGAAAAGGGAGGGGAAGGTAGGAGGGGAAAAGAAGAAAACGAAGAATTGGAAATCTCGCGAGATGAAGAGAGAGGGGAAGTGGGAAAACGCATTACGTGAGTCTGTGTATGGTATGTGTATTACAAGGTATGGTATGTTCCGTTCCAGATTTGAAGTATGTAGTCATTACCTCACCTACCTAGGTAGCCTATAGCATACTATATTGTATCTAATAGTAGCAGGTAGAGTAAGTTATAAAACTACTTGTACGTTTTATCAGTATCAATAGTATAATATCTATCAACTAGTACACTTTTAACCGGTAGTTGCAGAGTGCCTTGCCTCTGCCGATCAGAACTCTTTTCCTTTCTTTGATTTAAGGCAGGTACGGAGAACAGACGCCTACAACATATAAACCGCCTACATAAATACTTATACATAACTATTTAAGCCCGTCCCCAGATTCCTGTCAATGCTGCATGATATCAGTCATGTGGGGGCTTGCTAGATTCTTCATCGTTCCAGGATCCCGGGAAGCCCGATAGAATTGAAGATTATACATCATACCTCTGACCCGAGGGCTGCATCTGAAGTTCTTTTGCCGTGATCGGCCCTAGTCTTTTTTTAGAGTCCGCTCTTCCGCTTGTCCGTATGCTCAAACACACAGCAAGCACGTAGAAAGTGAAAGAGAAGGAGGTGGTGGGGGGGAAAGAAATAGTTCTAAACAAAATCCGATCAAATTTCGGTGAAAGACAGACGAACAAGGGGCAGGAAGCCCCAATGCATGAAATCTGCAAGGACCTTTCGCCGTCCTCGCAATGTGACTTGTCAACCGATCAGGTCTGTGTGGGCCTTTCCCGAGGTCATCATCGTCATATGCTGAGTAAGAGTACGGAGGCGGAGCAGGATCAGGTATCTGTTGGGTACATATTCGGAATCAATGGATCAGATATCTCATACTATATGTGAAACCAGGGCTATCCATGAATGCATTAGATACGGAGCATATGTAGTACATATTATCCCTGGATATATTATGTCTACATAGGTCCACGGGTATAATATCATAAGCAAGAAAGGCAACGTTGCAAACCTTGGAGAACAGACGCCACAGAATCATGGAGCCAACAGCCCCCCCATACGGTAATTCTATTTCAACAATACAGCAAGGTCACCCCAGATACCCGTCTAGCTGCAGCCTTGAGCTGAAGGTCAAGCAGAGCTCCCCCAATCTTCTCGAAGCAAGGTTCTCTAATCCATGTCCTTTAAACTGCTGTACACGCAAGGACTTCTTAAGCCGGTCACCCCTCCCTTCGTATTCTTGGAATACGTCAGCCGCGCACGTCCGGTCATGAAAGAATACCAGAAAGACATCAAAGAGAAAGAGAAAGAAAAAAAAATTTAAAAAGGCTCCATCAGAACCATGGGAGACCTCTGATGCGGAGTTCCGTTCTTATTGGCCGGGCAATGGGGGCCGCTCGTATTGGAATTACTACTTTACCAGCAGAGATTTTCATTCCATTCAAACAAGCTGCTTGGCTGATTTCACTTTACGCGGTACGCGACGCGTTTTCTTTTAAGATTGAATTACTGTACCCAGTAAACATGGTCTAGTGGCATGGTTCCTATGTCCATACATTGTATTCTTTTATTTTATATGGAAGGGGTTGCGTGCAAGGGATGATATTTATAACGGTTGTTAGGTTTCAGATCTAACCCTCTATGTTGTATGGAAATAAGCTAATCCAACCCTTGCATGGTAAGACACCGCAGACTGCGAGCCTTGGACGGTGTACAGAGTGCTTTAGAGTTAATAAGGTATACATAGCCCTAAACAATGAGAGACTACAACATACATAAATCATCCCACTATATCTATAGCTCGGTTTTAGTAGGATCTAACTTATAATAGTTCCAACTCACCTAGACATATTCTAGTCCAATTATACCAAATACACGAACCATGGAAACAAAGCAAATTGTTCCCACCATCGGAAATATCATCCAAAGCATATATATCCCCTCTATTATAACACAGTAACCGTATTCAATTTCACATAGCAAGAAGGAAAAAAAAACAAGTCAAAGCATAATCAAGTGTACGACAAAGCATATCGTACATCTAAACTATAGCCCCTCGGACATACTACTGGTCATTGCATTTCCCGAGCTGCGCAGCCCCAGGCCACTAGCTGGCCCCGATAGCCCCCACTTTCAGGGCTCACATCCACTTAGTTCACTCCAGTCTGACCAAAGAGAGTGCCAGCCTTGTCTGTGACTGATACCTGAATTCGAGGTACGGGAACACTTACTGTATACTCCATTACTTTGATTACCTATTCCAGAGTCGGCATTTGTATGTTGAGTGAATAATATCCGACCAATTTTTCCCCTGGACCCCACTGACTCTTGTTTTTTATTTTTTGGTCGAGGTTTTTTCTTTTCTTTTATGGGCTAGAAGTTTCCAGAATAGATATCTGGATCCATAAGTAATATCAGTACTATTTACTAAGTATCTACAGTGTGCAAATTGAAGTGGGACTTGCTTTCTCCAGAACTATGTCACTATTTTGTGTGTGGCCAGAGCGTCTTGTGTATATGGGATGTACACCGACGTAATCGCAAGAGATCTGTTCTAAAAATATACTCTTCACCATCTATTTATTATTTGGAGCCGCATGGGCAAAACACATCGATCAGGCAACAGGATAGAGTATATACCATAATCAGTTAAACCCATCCATCCCTCAAGATCTTGTTTAGTCTGTATACTCTGGAGACGTATAAGCAAAACACATACAACATAGACGCAAGAGCGTAGAATATTTACATATATATATATATATATATATCAATTACAAACAGTTAAACTCATCCATCCCGGCCTCCACCTCAGGATCCTGCTCCGCAAGTAACATAAGACTCTTCTCATATACCCGCGTAGCCTCCAACATCCACGGGTCATCGACCTCATCGCCACTATTCTCGTCTTCGTCATCCCCACCCCCATAACCATTAGCAGCATTACCTCTCTCATTCGACTTTGTCAAACAAGAAAAAACTTGATATCTAGTCCTCTCCGCCAAACTCCGAATTCGCACTTTCTGCGTCTCCGTCACGAGAGACTGGCCCGGCTGTGCGCCAGGCAGAACGGCGCCAGTGAGTGGGTGCGTGCTTGTACACAGTGCTGCGAAGACGGAGTCGAGCTTGTGAAAGATGTTTAGGGTTGGTGGGGCATCGAAGGGGAAGGCTGGAAGGGAGGTTTGGGTCAGGCCTGCCAGGGTTATGAGGGCTTCGGTTTGGATTGCCGCTGGATGGATTAGTTAGAATGAAAGATATATTCATAAGAAAAAGGAGGGGAAGAAAAGATAGTAAAGAAAGGAATACATTGTAAAACAATATAATCCTCTTCTATAGCTCGGATGTATAAAATATGAAACTCACGTGTGGCCGACGCCCAAAGCGTATCAATAAGATTCTCAACATCCGCAGCAAGGTCTTGGTAGCTATCGTATTTGCGTTCCGAAGCGGGTGTATCCGGTGCGTCCATGCCCATGTCAGATTTCATTTTTCGGTACGTGACTCTCTCTATACCTGTGCTGATTTGGCCTCGGAGCTGGGTTTCTTCTTCGGAGCCCGAGGGGATGGGTTGGCTTCGCTGTCGAGGGAGTGATAAAGTTGGGGTCCATTGTGGTTGCGGGGTTGAGCGGATGATTATTGGGATTTCTATGTCTCCCCTATTTCTAGATCCGGCTGGGTGGGAGATTGGGACATCCTCGAACTCGACGTCGGAGTCGGAGTCGGTTTCTTGGTCGTTTTGGATTGAGGCGGGGGACATCTTGGATTTTGTCTCTGTCTTTTGATATGAATAGAATGGGTCGAGTCCAATGATCAGGATTTTCACTCTTGTTGATGTTTTTATAGAAAGAGGAGCAAAGAAAATACCGAAAGAGGTGTGGTATGCCAGTGGGATAGGGCTGTTCTTGCTGGATATATCGTGTGAAGCTTGGGTCTCTGGCCGGGCTTGGAGAATGCGATTTAGCCGAGAGCAATATCACATGATACAGCTAAATGTAGCCCTTGGTCTCTGATGATTTCAAATTGTTTTATACTTTGGCAAAGCTATCAATCTCATCCATAGTAAGACGTACAGTTTCTCCAGAGGTGGGATGTAACGCCAAGCGTTGGTCTGTGCGGATCCGGAATTGGAGGCATCTACGGGTTGGGTTGGCTATGACAACTACGGACAATTGGAACTACATGTATATATATAATTGGATCATAAACTATTGATATTGAGATAACTTGTATGTATGTATCTAACCTATTTTGAACCACAATTAGCAGATGCAACACTAAGAAGCACAATAAATCCCAACAAGACAGAAGCTCCAGTTCAGAAGGCGAGAAGATAGATAAGCTGGTGTTTGCAGTCATGGCATAACAGCGAGTAAAGCGCGTTTCGCTACTATGGCCCCAGCGTGTTCATCCTCGGAGCGACCATAATAATAAAAAAACAAAAAAAAAACAAAAGCAAAAGCAAATACTCACATGTACATAGGACACCACCTCGAACCTTTTATCCTGCCATCGAAAAAAGACACCCAGAACGCCATGCTATCATGCACTGGATCACTCAGGCTGTATAAAAAGTCAGCATCACCACTCCCACAAGACCAACCGAACAAGAAAGAGAGATAAGAAAAACCTACTCGAATCTTCCCCTTCCGAGCCTTAATCTCCGCCAACTTCTTCTTATCCTCATCAAAGCGCCTAAGTAACTCATTTTGTCTCTCCTTCCTCTTCTCCCTAGACTGGAACCGATAAAAGTCCTCAAGTCCCTCGCCCTTCTTCTTCTGCTTCTCAACAAGCTCCCTCATCTCCTCCTCCCTTGCCACAGAATTCAACTTCGGTCCATGCGAAACAGTAACGAATCCATCCTCATCCGGCACAGCAAGACGCTTGTGATCCTCGCGCTTGCGCGCCTCAGATACCTGTGTGAACGTAGTCATGAACTCATTCACCGCCCGAAGCAACGTGCCGCGATCGGGGTACTGCATGCGCTCGTGCGCGACGTACCGGTTTAGTCCGAGGACGGGGATACGGTCTGTTGGCAGGCTGTCACCCCAGATGATGGTGGTACCGCGCTTGGCGGCCTTGGTGGCGGCTTTCAGACTGGTTTCCATGCTGGGCTTGTCGGCGAAGATGACGACTGCGTGGGCGCCGCTCTTTTGCAGTTTGCGGTCCCAGGTTGAGGGGAGAGTGATGTCGTCGAGGTGACGTTCGAAATCGTCGGCGGTTACGCGCTTGCGCTTCTTTTTGGATTGGGTTAGGTTTGTTTCTGTGGTTGTTGCTGCTACGCGCTTTTTGGTCTGCACATCTTCAAATTGGACTCTTTCTACGCGGCCTGCGGCGAGTTGCGTGCCGAAGAGATGGCGGAGGTGGGCTTCTGTTGTGTCGATTGGGACATTGACGATGAAGAGGGAGCGGGTGGAATCTGGGTTTGGGATTCGGGGCTCGTGTGGTCGGATGTAGAGGTAGTGTGTTGCGGGTTTGGGGAAGAGGGGGGTTGTTGGGAGCTGCACGGGTAGGGTGGTATAACCTTCCACCTGCACGGATTCGACCTTCATTTTGAATGGAGGTTTGATTGCCAGATTGTTGCGTTGATTGTGCTGAACTTTTTCTGCAGATTTGCCCTTGGCACAGAATTTTGCCGGGGTTGTCAGAGCGGCGGTGAAGGCGGTGAACCTCCTAGTTAGGGCTTCGACTACATCGGCATGAACATAACTTGGAATCTTTGCTATTCTAACCTATTATCTATGATATGAATCGTCTAATGGTATAATATCATCGCAGCATCAAACCTGATGCATCATAGAGATCGTAACCCCGGAGAATTTCCCTCAACATCGATACATCGTTTCGACCACACCACGTCTAAGCCTTCTCAGGATCATTGATCCCGCCATTGGTGATAATATAGATTGCTTCACGCTCAGCACAGTCTTAGAAAGGGTTAGAACAGTGACAGAGCCCGGATAATATCGAAGTACTCACCAGGAGAATCTTGAATCTTCGCAACTCGCTCATCACCACGACCCTTACGAAGGAGCACACGAGTAGTGGAAGCATGAGCAAGCACATGGCCACCAACGGGCTTGCGACCATCTGCTCCAGCAAAGAGTGCACTAGCACCAGGGTCACTCTGGACCTGGTTTGTCTGAGCCAAAGCGTGAGCGACATCACCTCAAAACACATTAGGCCGCACTCACCATCAAGACACAAACGTTAAACTCTGCAGTCAAACCAAATAAGCCAACAGCTACTAAGAAGACGCAGAACCGTAAATCTCACCTTCAGCCATATGCGCTAGTTTCATCAAAAACTGATTCAACTTCTGCTGCCGATCCGCCAACTCACCACGCCCACAATAATCAACCCGGAAACAGTTCATGATACTATCAATAACAAGCAATCGATACTCGCCTCCGGCAAATGACCGAGAAAGCGTATTCAACAGCTCGAGCTGGTGCTCGCTGTTCAGCGCGCGCGCATAGGAAATATTCTCCTGCGCCGTATCCGGATCCATGCCAAATCGCTCGGCGATTTGGGCAATGCGCTCGGGTCGGAATGTGCCTTCTGTGTCGATGTAGGCGACTCTACCGGCTGCTCCGCCGGATTCTTTGGGTAGTTGGGCGACTACGGACATTGTGTGTGAGAGTTGGGTTTTGCCGCATCGGAATTCCCCGAAGACTTCGCTGATGCTCATGCTTTGGAAACCTCTGGTATGGTGTTAGATGGGTGTTGTACGGTGGCTTTAGCTTTGGGGGTGGGTGTTATTATACTCACCCATTTAGGATTGAGTCGAATTGCTTGCTACCGGTTGAGATACGGACGACCTTCTTGCGTTGGTGGTGGAGTTCCATTGCTGTGATGAAACCCGAGGCCGTAGGGAGGCATTTCTGAATTGCTTCTTTGACTTTCTCGACCTTGACCTCGCTGAAACCTTTTATCTTCAAGAGGGTTTTGCGGGTGGCGCCGTGGACGGACTGGATGAATTGTTAGGCTGGGGATGGCATAGGCTTGGAATATGCTTGAGGGACGAAGTGGTTTAGGGTTGAGGCACTAACAGCAACAGTGTAGAATCCATTCGCCTTCAGCTTGGTGATGTCGGCTGCGCCAATGCCATGGGCCTGGATGCCATCGATGTCCAGAATCAAGTTCTGTAATTGTAGACAATTCACTAGTTAGATTGGTACCTCGAGGGCATGCATGGGGATGGAGTTTATTGTACCTCATCATCGTCGAATTCATCACTTCCTACCGAGCCTGGCATATTGATGAGAGATGGCTATGTTTAGATGACTGATGAGGAGAGTGTAAGGTGGACAAGAGATGTGAAGGGAGACTCGACTCGACCTGAATGATCAAGGTCACGGGTTCGGACTGCTACTAAGCACTGAGCACACAGACACCTATACATTACAAGAACAAGATGATTGAGATATTTCTTTTTTAGACTCTCGAAATTTTCTCAGGACTCTTCCCATCTGGAAGTCCTCTTTCTTTCCAGTTGCAACGGTCCCCGAATCCAATTCCCCTCAGCTTCCAACATATCCTCTCAATGCCACACTTCATCTCCTCGTTCTCTCCTTGGCCCCATTCAGGAAAACCGCAACCAAGAGTCGATCGAAAACCAAGAAAGATAATCCATGAGAATAGACAACAGACGCCAATTCGTAAAACTTGAAAAAGCTCAGGTCGAGGACTTCGCGAAAAACAAAACCAAAAAGAACTTTTTCTGTTTGTTCGTCGTATACATGATAGGGTGATAAAAATAAAAAATAAGTAAAAAAAAGAACAAGCTCCAAAGGGGTGAAAAGGGGAAATCAAAAGCCGTTGTTTTTTAGGGTCCAGAACCAGACCCTCCCTAAAATAGAGGTCGTGATTTAAATATATGCAAAGGAAGAAATGGCGGAGAGAAAGGACCGATCGAGGTGTAGGGAAAATGACCGTAATACAGAATCAAGGAAGAAAAGAAACTCCAGGCATTCCTCCAATTGCAGATGCACAGTGGAGAGACAGGGCCGAACACATTTAAGCGACGGCAGTAGTAGGAGCCGCAGCAGGGACAGTGCTGGCCTCAGTGGAAGGCTCAACAGCGACGACAGCAGGGGCAGCAGCGGCAATAGGGGCGGCGGCAAGGGGGTCAGACTCAACGGGAGCAACGGGAGCAGCGGCACCCTCGTTGGTAGGGCAGTCGCGGGAGATGTGACCAGCCTGGGCACACTTGTAGCAGACCTTACCGGCGGAGCTGAGGGGACCACCGTTGGGAGCGGTGCAATCACGCGAGATGTGGCCGAGCTTGCCGCAGGCGTAGCACTTCATGGCCTGAGCCTGGCAGTCACGGGCGAAGTGGTTGGGACCGCCGCACTTGTAGCAGGTTGCGGCGCGGGGGTAGCCGCTGAATCCACCGCGGAATCCACCCTGGAAACCACCGCGAGCACCACCGGCGCCGCGGCCAGCGGCGGGACCGGTAGGGGGAGCACCGGCTCCGGGAGCAGCGGGGTTGGTGCAGTTGCGCTGGAGTGGAGTTAGTAATCGGTCTGGTACGAAACTTCGAGACCTGGGCTTGGAGTTCGGAAACGTACGGCAAGGTGGCCGGGCTGGCTGCAGTTGTAGCAGCGGCCGTTGGCACCACCGTTCAGGCGCAGGGTGGGGCAGTCAGCCTGGACGTGGCCGAGACCCTGGCAGTTGTAGCACTGCTTGGCTGGATGGTGTTAGAAAGCTGGAATGGCGGGAGTGGATATAGAGTGGTCGCTTACTCTCGGTGGTACGGGGCAGAGGGCAGGCGCTCGATTCGTGGCCTATATGAATAACTTAGAAGCTTGTTGTGGGTGCTATGACTCATGATCGAACATACCGGGCTGCTTGCCTATGAAATGAGATAAATTAGCATTCAGTTAAGATAAGAGTATAACCTCTCGGGGAGATATTCACGCACAGTTGTAGCAGAGACGCTCAGTGGAAGAGCAGACCTCTACCGAGGAATTAGTTTGACCCCATATATAGCAAGCTTCCAAGCTATACTAACCAGCATAGTGGCCAATGGTGCCACACTTGTAGCATGCGCGACGAGACAACATCATTCTGGCGGTATTCTATCCATCGCAAGTCAGCCCGGTGCCGGGTTTATATGGTGTCGCGTATAGCTCCGTCGATAAGCAGCGTCTTCCCCTCCATTGCCGGAATCTTCGAATTGTCGAATTGTGTAATGAACATACGTCGTCTGGGTTTGATTTGACTTCAATTCCATTATATATTGTATCCGACGTTTTCCGAGTCGAGCACAATCGAATTTGCGATCTCAAAAATTTCGAGCGAAAGAGGGGAAGACGTAGATCGGCGGGGAGAGCACGAGCTTGAACGGCGAAACGCGAAACGCCATATCTCACTCACCCTCAAAGTAACTCTTCTCAAATCCTTGTCAAAATCTATAGTATCCTCTTTGGTCAGCTTTTTTTTTTTTTGAGAACCCTTGGAGAAAATGAGGCACGTTTCTGACAGCCCACTCGAAGGGAAAAAAGTGGGACAAGGGAACCACACAGAAGAAAAAAAAAGCAAAAGCAAAAACAAACAGAGAATAAGAAGAAATAGGACTACTCACACTCTCAACAACTTCAATAACCTCAACTCCAACTTCTTTTTAAAGGGAATGCACACAAAGAAGAGAAGAAAAGTGGAAAAAGAACAAACTCGTCAAACGGCTTTAGCTCCCGGGCTTTTCCGTATTGCGTAAGGCGTTTATTTACTATTCTATACTCGACGATATAACTAGGATATAGGTAGTATGCTAATTCTATATTGAATGTTATGGAATAAATACCTTACCCCTACATTCCTACAGATCCATTCTCCCCAAAAGTGCAATGCAATTCATTTCTTCGTTCCAGATCTCTCCGCGAGATCCGACTGGTTACATCCTAATCTACTCTTCCCGCTCCAGGATGGCCGGTGCCTTAATTTCCCGTCCCTTGAGGAATTCCAGGTTTTCACCGCCCTGTAATGCATGTTAGTTGACAAGTCAAGATGAAAGAAAGAAGAGACATACGTAGCTGATCAGAGGAGAAACTTCAACACCAACGGCCTCGCCATCAGTGATAACAATACCACCAGCAGCCTCAACCCACCGCTGACCTTGGGCCATGATATCTGCACGGCTGGTATCGGGGTCGTCCTCACCAGTGCCGCGGGCGTTCTTCAAAGGAGAGAACTCGTCGTGACGGTGCACCTCAAGGGTAGCGAACTTATCCAGCGGGGTCATGGGGAACACGTCAAAGACAAACTGCTCCAGCTTGATGCCGTTAGGCTTCTCGGGCTTGACGAGGTTACCAGTCTCGGTATCGACACAGGCAATCTTCTTGCGCGCCACGTGGTGGGGCAGCTGGTGAGCCCAGTTCTCGATCGACTCGAGGAACCGGAAGGAGTAATAGTGGTTGACGATGTTGGCGGCACGGTACTTGAGGACGTCGGGCTGCTTGGGGTCCTTGGCCTCGGCAGTCTCCTTGTCAATCTCGGAGTACTCGACCACGTCGGGCTTGCCGTTCTTCAACAAGATCAGGCCCACGGACTCAGTGGCATTGCGCTTGCGCACCACCTTGGTGGCGATGTCGACATTCTTGGAGGCAGAAAAGCCAATGAACACCGGGTCAGCTACCTTGACAAGGCAGTTGTCCACTCCGTAGAGGTGGATGTGCTCGATGCCACGGCGGCGCATGTCCTCGCGCACACCGGAGACCACGAGGGCCTGGTAGATGCCACCGTTTCCATCAGGAGCCACGGCGGCCTATATTCAGGGTCAACAAATCTCTCCCTACATGTTTTTGAGCTACGCCCGTATACTACATACCTTGCCCTTGGTCTCGAGGAGAATCTTGCCGTCATTGGAGATACAAGGCAAAACACCCTGCTCAAAGATCATAACATTGCTCTTGTCGAGACCGAAGTAGTTGTTCTTCTCAAAGAACTCCTCGGTAGGTTTACGTGTAGGTCCACTGGTCATGATGTACCAGGGGATGACCACGTTCTGACCACCGATGAGAGACTGCAGCTTGAGAATACGCTGAGCCTGCAATTGGAATAGCGACTTCTCGCTCAACAGACCAATGTCAAAGCAGCCCTTGGGGGCAGAGCTACCGAGCCGGGTACCCTGTCCACCAGCCATCAAGACCACGGCCACTTTGTTCGCCGCCACCTCCTTCAGGCCAGCTTCGTACCATTTCTGAATATCTGAGGGGTCGGAGTCGAGGATGGAGGCGGAGGCAACTTCAGGGAAGGGCTCGAGGGTCACGGCCCCCTGCTCGGCGGGAGGAGGGTTGAGGGACTTGTCGGCCAGCTCGTTGATCCGAGTGGGGTCAAAGTTAGACAGCTGGTGGAAGAGCTGTGACTTCTCGACGGTGGTCAATTCCTCGACGAAGGCAAAGACATGCCCTTGTCCAGCATCTGTGTATTTCTTTTGTAGTGCTTGGAACTCCTCCACTGAGGGTTCACGGGGAACCTCTGGAGTGGCGGTGCCCTGGAACTTTCCAAGAACATTGGAGACAGCATCTTTGATTACGTTTGCCATTTTGGAATATTTTTGGGAAGAGAAAATAAAGAGGTGAATGGAGAGAAAGGAGAAGGAGGAAGAGGGAGGAAAAGTAAATAAAAATAAAAAAACGTGGGGTGAAGCTCCAAGCTGATTAAGTATTCGAGTTAACTACACCTTAAAATCCACGCCACACGGTACATGTGCTCCAGTTGCCTAATATGCTAATATATCCCAGACTATTACGAACCTGGTGGACTCCGGTTTATTTTTAGGGATCTGCAAAGGCGAATAATGGCGAGCTGTCCATACAAGAAAGTGGCTAGCGAGCGCCGAGTGAGACCTGCCCACTGAGTGGTATCCCACTAGTCAAAGCGGGGCCTTGGCTTGTTGCTACGGTAAGGGGCGAAGTCAAGTGGATATGTCCAGAGCATTTGTTTGACATAGAATAGGGGATATTTGAGTAACTATCGTCGATCACGATCATTGTACCGGCCTCGTTCTCTCCGTGAATCTCTTCGTGAATCCCGTTGTGGACTCCGGCTATAGGATCGACGACGGTACCGGTCCCGTCCATCCCGACGGGGGCTTCGACTCCCTCGATCTCGACGAACACGAGTGCGATCTGACGGAGCTTCCCGTGGAGCCTCACGGGGTGGAGCCGGAGCGCCCCTATTCTTGTTCTTGTCAAACATCATCCGATACCTAGCATCATCCTCATCGACAGGCGCATCGTCCAGCTCTCGGTACTGGCGTTTCGCTTCAAGATCTGCAACACCACCAAATCCACCCCTCTCTCGGCGCTTAGTGACGGTGGAATTGCGCCAGCTTTCGGATAACTTGGATACCTGGGATACATTAGCATATTGGTCTAGGCAATAGTGGTGATGAGGGGCTCTTACACTCTGTGAGAAATCCACATGTATCCGGTGATCATCGATTAAGACACCCTGCATCTTGAAATAGGCCTGTTCACAGTCCTTTTGTTCCTCGAATTCAATGAACGCATATTGTAGACTGTCACCGGTGCGCTTGTCCCGAATAACCTCGCAAGATAAGATCGTTCCAAAGCGGCTGAAAATAAGATTTAGATCCTCATCTAGCATTGGTTAGCACAATCTCATGGGGTTCCGTAGGGGAATGCGACAAACCTTGTGTGACCGGATTGAGCTTGCAAACAAAAAGAATATTCTCTGGTGGCTTGACGTCGGCGAACGGTAGATCTCCCACCATTTCCAATGTCAGGGCCTGCGCACGAGCCTCACGCTCACGACGCAGCTTGTCCATAGCCTCTTCATCCATATCATCATCCAAGTCCTCATCGTCCGCGATCCTGACCGTGGCCAATTGTGCTTTGGAGGGCACCGGGCTTTCAGGTGGTTCAACCAGATTCGGCGGGTCATCGAAGGGATCGTCAAGGACGGTAGTGTGACGAATGCGAATATCTTTCAACGGTCGACCTCGGTCGTCAATAAAGGATTCATTGATTTTCTCCAGGACATCGAAGCCCTCGACGACCTGGCCGAAAATCACGGCCTTGCCATCTAAATAATCTAGGTTGTCTCCAAGTGTAATGATGAATTGACTGGCAGCTATCCGTTGGTCGGGATCGTTCTTGGCCGGTACCGTGGCCATGCTCACCGTACCGCGTTCCAAGTGTTTCAACTTGCGCGACACCTGGAGCGGAAATGTTCTTTTCGACGGTCCGTCCAGCAGACCCCAGACTGAAGATCCTCCATCGCTCTCGGGTGCGTCAGGACCGAGCGGGTCACCGGTCTGGAAGGTGAAGTTTTTTTGGACGCTGTGGATGGGCGAGAAATTGTAGTACTTGAGCTTGCATAGCTTCAAGAAGCTAAAAGCACACCAAATGAGCTTAGTTTCAGGTTTCAGCAGACTGGGAAAGCCAAGGAATGGAGCCACTCACTTGTCACACGCCTTGGGTGCATCATCGACCAACAGGTCAATTACAATATCGCCCAGGGAGGTCTCTAAAAGCGCGCTCATGGCGGGGAATCGGGCGCAAGATACCGAATTAGGCGTTTAGTGGACAACCTTGGAAGGCAAACACTGATTTGGTAATAAGAAATAAGAGAAAGGTAGAGACAGGCAGAGACAGAGAGACACAGAGGGTGAATGTGAAAGTCCGGGAAATGTGAAATGCAAGAAGTTGGAGCTTCGACCAATCACCGCCCGCGGGGATCCCCCAATCGCAGGGAACTGAGCCTCTGTTTCTTTTCTTTTTCTTTTTCTTTTTCTTTCTTCTATTTTTCCTTTTTTTCTCCCTATTTTTACAAAGATTTTCCACGAATGGGTACTTGCTGCGTAACAGCTCTAGGGTTCTCCGGATGATCGACCCGGGAGAATTGTGCAACGGCGCTTGTCAATCAAGCTGCATCTCTTCCAAATGTCCCCGTTGGACATAATGGACATAACCTTACGCTTTTGAGATCGACGTGCAGCGGATCTTATTAAGGGCCTTGATCGACCCTGGGATTCCAAGTTTGAACTGTTTGTGTGCTTATATCCCTCATGCAGCAGCAGGCTCAGCCAAAAGAAGCATCTCTTGGCAGAAATTCAACAGTGGCTGATTGTTACTGGATGCCAAATCCTTGGAGAGAGACCAAGCCACCCTGTTGTACTGTTTCGCCTTCTCTTTCTTTCTCCACTGAAATCATGGCGTCTCGCGGCTTCCACGGGAGGTACACGGTCCTCCTTTCTAGGACAGTACCAACTTCCCCCGTGAGCTGTTCCACAACAGAAACGTTGGGAAGGGGAAAACGGGCGGCCTCCTGCAGCAGGATTTAACGGGTATCATCATTATCACAGACTAACTTCTTGGAAAAGAGCCACACACGTGGGATAGGATATGATCAATCCTGAATGAGCCTCTTGCCTAGACTTCTCCCGCCTTCTCGATTCTAGGGAGCAAAACTCCGGACAGCCAGGGGTTGCCTCCACCGTATCGTCTGCAACAAAAGCCAGTCTCAATCCCAATATGTGTTCCTGGCGAGTCAACTCAGCGTCAGCTGCGTAGCCAGGGCTTTCTCCTGACTCTAGAATCGTAATTCCCACTTCCCCCCGGATGTCGTGCATCGTCAAACCTTGAACTGCCGGACACTTGTCTACATACTTGCTAGAGACTCCATGGGGGTCTAGATTTGTATTTTGAAACCCCGACTTTGATTGCTTTCCCCACTGTTTTAATTTTTCCTATGTCTCTCGTGTCCTAACGCTAGATGTCTTGAGGCGGGTTAGAGTAAGGGTTTCCTATACTAATATTGGAGAACCCCTTCTTAATTCTTTACTCCATGTCATACTGTAACGTGAAACCCACTCTCCACATTTGCTCCAGGTAGCAAGGTGTGAACCTTGTAAGTATCCCAGAAGTTCATGCATCCCAGTCGGCACTTTTTAGATCCCCCTTTTTAGCCTTTAGCGTCGATCGTGATCCAGATCTGATGGATATCAGAGTCCATATACTAGGTAAGTACTATATCCCTTCCTCATTTTATGGACTTGATTTGCTTTTTCCTCCCCTTCCATTTTGATCTAGCTACGTATTGGAAGCGCGAAAGAACACTAGGATCGACCACGACGATCAGCCTCTTAGATCGTTGATCCCTGGATTTTTCTAGGGTGCGCTTGACTCGGGGAAGCCAACTCGTGCGCTTGTCAAAGTGACAGGTGCCATGAGAGATATTTTGCTATATTTTCTTTTCTTTTTTTTTCCTTTCCTTTTCTCTTTCTCTATTGAGACATTTGGAGCATCCTGAGACAGGCGTTTGTTTTTTTTCTTCCTTTCTATTATACTATATATATATATATTCTCTCTGAAAGACCGTGCGTTTGCAAGATAACATATGTTCCAGACCTCGACAACCGAGGAAGTTCGGACTATTTTAGCCTGCAGCTATACAAAAACTATCGAGCAAACATTTACGGACATCGGGACAGACTCCCCGGCGGATCGTCAGGTATCTGCAAACAGTAGTTCGGCGGTTGCCCGTTTTATTTTCTCTATCTCTTTGGATATCCTGAGATACACCAAGTTTGTGACTTTACCGCTTCCTCTTCTAAACATACAAAAAAGAAAGAAAAAAAAAAGACTCCTTCAAATTGGCTGAAACACTACCTACCGGAGCCCTCTCTGCCTGGTTCTCGTCATGGTTATCAGGTCATGTCCGTGTGACGTTACCTTGTGAAACCTCTTTTTAAAACGCCGGGGGACAATTTTCTGTTCATATCTGGGAGCAATTGGGGGCAACTAGGGCCAACCGGGGCTAACTGAGTGAATCTGGGCGGAACTCTGCATATCATTTCTTAGGAATAGAATAATAGAATAGAAATACGAAACACTCTAGTAAAATAATAATAAGATAAATAAGAAATAGGAAATAAAATCGGAAAAAAGAAAGGAAAAAAGAAAAGAGACCAGGTCCAGGGTACTTTTGGCCTATGTAATGTGTATGTCTTCTTCTCTTGGATCTCAACACACAGACAGCATCGACAAAATAATAATAATAAAATATATGGTAAAAAAAAAAAGCAGGGGGCAGAAATATCGCACTATGTCTATATATTCTATATAAAAAAAAAGGCAATCAATCACACCGATTGTTACCAAAACATGGCTTAAATCTAGCCCTATTTCCCAGAGACATCTCTTTCACTTTCTACTTTCCACCTTCTTCTCAACATTGACTTATAGGCATTCACTGTGAACACTTCTTTTGGATATTCCAAGGTTCTCTAATTTGCTGAACAGTGAAACGGGTTATTGTTCTTTGCCAATATCATGGATCACACATACGACAATCTGTCTGGACTAGACCAAGCCCGGCATAACTCAACCATTTCTATGGCACGATCCATGCGTGTGGCTAAACAGGAGCGCAGTCTTGTTGTAGAGCGAGATGAGAAGCCGCGGAAACAGAGGAAGCGAGCCCTAGTCGCGGTAAGTTGCTCTCTCTATCATGATCACCCGGCGTTTTCTAACCCCTAACTAGTGCAATCGATGCCGGAAGAGAAAAATCAAGTGCAACGGTGACCTCAACACTGGCCTGGCTTGCTCCAGCTGCCGTAGTGTTGGCGCTACTGAATGCCAATACATCCGAGTAAGTCCGAGTCCACAATATCCACAGTGAAAGAGTCACACTAACCTAGTTTCTTTTTACTCCCTAGGTCAACTCTCTGGCTCCCGAAGATGCTGCTAGAGAAGCAGCTAGGCTCTATGCAACCAAGGGCCAGGGAAGGCCAATTCTCATGGGCTCCCCTCAAATGCGAGCTCCATACCAGCGAGAAGAATATGAACTGGATATCCAGTCCAACTTCTCACGACCTGTCGGCATGGAACACTCCTATGACGACCAGTCAGCCAACTACCACGGCCAGGCATTGTCAGGGTACACGCTTTCTAACACTCAGGGAGCAATGCTCGACTATGGCACCGCATGGGGCAACCGGGCCTGGGATCTTAATGGCAGATCCAACGGCGAGTTCTTCGAAGGACAAAACACCAACATGAACCAGGCTGTCTACTCCTTCGTCCTCCCAGGTCAAACCATGTCAACTGAAATGCCCCAGTCAACAGGTGTAATGACAGCGTACACAGATGCTGTAGACCGCACCCTCCCAACACCCCCAACCTGTCGAAGCCAGCCCCAGCAAAACATCAACCTCTCAACCCTCCCAGACGGTCTCTCAGGTATGACCCTAGCCGCTGATTCAAAGGGTTGGAACTCGCGGTATGCAACCGGCCCAGATGGGCGGGCAGTAACTATACCCACCGTCCCAAGCAACGGTCTCTACAACATTAGCCCCTCAGCCTCTGCACGCATCAAGTCAACCGACTCAGACGACGGAACACGAGACCTCGTCTTCGGATATATCCCCATGTCCACAACAGAAGATCCCTCCCCACTCCCCGCAGCCACATCCTCATCCATGGCCACCTCCGCTGCAAACCCACCTTACCCAGTCTTGGACACGATAGAGAGCACTCTCGTGGGCGAGTACAACACATCGGGGCGCAATTTTTCTCGCGATAGCAGCGCGGGACAGCGCCTACTCACGCTGACTTCTGATTGTGCTCCTGATATGTATGGATATGCCGGCAGTGAGCGCAGAAAGTCGAGAGGAGTTGTCGCGGGTGATGTGCGTTGCTCCGCACCGACGCTTGTTAATGGCTTGCCCTATACGCGTGTTCGACATGCGGACTCGGCAGTTGGGCTGCCGTATGGTTTTTTAGCTGATGGCTTGTCAGATTATGGGCGGTCGGCTGATCTTCATCGGTCTCCTATTTCATCGTTGGGTCATCAGGGGGCGTATTGAATTGACTTCAATCTGTCTTGTGGTGTTATTGTATCGAACGCAACGTGTGTGTATACCTCCCCCGATGAATCCTTTGGTCTTCGCCGTTCTCTTCTTTTCCTGGTTGGTCTCTTGCTTGGTTTCTTTCTTCGCTACAAGATACACAAAAGAGATACCCATATCAAGGCTGTTTATGTCTGCCTTTGTTCTGCCTATTTAATGTCTTTCTTATGTCTGCTCTCTGTTTTTTCTTTTTTCTTTTCTTTTCTTTTTTTTTTTTTTTGCTGTTTTCCGATTTGGTCTTTTGCAGTTTATTCTGTTCTGTTTTGATTCATTGTTCGTTCTGTCGTCTTTTTCTGTCTGCCTGTGTTCATCCAAAAGAGAAAAAATATCCATCGGAAGGGCTATGAGGTGCTGTCACACCCGTCCAAGATTACTCCCTAATACCCCAGAGTGGCTTTATGCAGTGATTTATATCTGTTGTTCCGTGTCTGTTTCAAAATTATGTCTTTTTTTTTCCCATGCCATGTGTGTTTAGTCTTGTGGAATATCTTGTTTTCTATTACTACTCTGAGGAACTCTCCGGTTTGTGATATGTAATATCCATGTCTTGTGTCTTCTAATAATTCTTCAAAGCGTGGAGGGTGTTTCTTATTTGCCTTATATGGCATATCTGAAAGTAATGTCTTTTATTTACCCCATCTGCCCTTACTCGAGTATCTATATCTCCATCCAACGCCTAGTACAACCTCCCAGTTAACGACCATATCCCCTAAATAATACAATACATATTCTAAACCTCATCCCCATGTATCTTCCATCAAACTCAAGGATCAAAAGCACAAACTAGGGCTAACCATGTGCCCTGCACCCCGAGACCAGCACCGGGATCCTTCCTAATTAACCATAAAGTAGCACACAAATCTGTACATCGGCGAACTCCTGACTCCCGCCCTAAACCAGGATGCAGTGATACAATGACTCAACCGGCCATGCCGTATACAACCCTGACATGGACGTGTTCGGGTACTGTCGGAAATCCTACGGTAGTAGATATATATCTACGCATTTAGTCAGACGACCAGTAACCTAACCTCAACAAGTCCATGTGGAATTGGAATGTGGCATTTCCATATGGGAAATGGCATTTTAATGGGGAATATTGAAGGAAATGGAATTTGTCCTATGTTGTGTAATCTACGCCATCGTACAAGCGATCCACCCGAGGGATATACTTATACGGCCACTCCCGACTAGATTCCGTTCGAGGGCTTGTTATACTAGATTTGATAATTTGGCTTGGGAAGTTGGTTCCTGCATTGTACCTGCTGGTTTATTCTTTTTTTTTTTGTAAAAAAAAAAGTCGGATGGAGTGACTGGTTGGCTTTCAGCTGGGATGGCTGAAGTGGGATTTAGATTGTTGTTATATATATAAGCAGACACTACATATTTTGCTTACTCTATATGTCTGGATGAAGTAGCTCCATTATTGCAAAATCACCATAATTAATCACAAGTGTTGGATTGCTCGGGCAATGATCAGCTGCAACATTCAGCAGGTTAGTATGAGTCTTCAATGGCCCTAAATTAGGGCTTTAGCGCCTTGGGCAATATCCTTCAAGTGCTGTGACCTAATGCATTGACGGGATATTTTCCGAGATTTTATTTGAGAAATGCAAAAGGAACTTGATTAAAATTCTTGCGCCTACTAAAATTTTGTTTTCCGAAAATGAGGACCAATCGCTCACGCGGCGGTTAGTATTTCTCTTAATAGACACTCCCTTGCCCATACCCTACCCCAGTTGGTTCACATATAATTATATCGAGATATTATAAACGCCGGCGTTTGACTCATAGGAGCGTAGACCCCTATAATATGTACTTATAATCAAGGACTTTCCGCCCGTAGACACCACACTGCACTGATTAAAGAAACCATGACATCCAAACTCAAACCCCTCGCTGTATTCAGCTGACAATCCCCCAAGCCCAGCAATACATCAAATCCAGCAAGAACCTAGGGGACGCATAGCGCACGCTTTCCGAGGAACCATGCATTGAGTCCGACAGAACGACAGTCATCAAAACCACGTTTGATTTTATACTCAGAATCGCAACTGAGCCCGATGGCTTAACAGTCGAGATGACGGTAATTGAAACTCCTTCTTCCATTCCTGAGTCATTAAATCTGCTTAGATATTACCGCATATTCTCAGAATATGGAACTGACTTCCTTTGGCGAGCCGTTGAGGATATTAGAGAAGATGAACAAGGATACACCGAGTCAGAAGAAGAGCTCGTCTCCTTCCCGTCTTCTGTGCTGGAGGTGTACAATGCATGGGTAGATCAGTGGAGCAAGAACTGGGAGAAGAGAATTAAAGATATGCAAGACTATCATGCCCCTGTCTTCTCGGATAGAATAGAACAGGTGACAGGTGGCATGGAATGTCGCTGGGTATATGTCGGCTTGGCGCATTGTCTTTTTTTGTCCTGTTGGAAGTATTGAGTACACTGCTGATTCTACAGATTATCTGCTTGAACGGGACAAGGAATCTGCTGTGACGAAGAGGTTCTTGGGGGATCAGATTGGGCTTTTGGCCACGGGGGTCAAGGGGCTGCCATGATCATTTCACTCTTTTGGGTTTGTGTATTTGATATAGCGGCGTTGATATAGGCAAGGCGAGGGCTGACCGTTATGTCAACCGAGTTAGACATGCTTCGTTGTGTGAACTGTGTACTCCGCATTGAAGTATAGAATATGGAGGGGCATGGGGACATGGCTTGATATAGACTGAGCCTAGACTACGCCGCGGAGGGTCTTGAGGCTACAGTCTGCAGATCCAACTACACCAGATCTAGACATGGCCCCGTACAAGTGTACAAATGTCCAAGTACAAGTACAGCTACAAGACCGCCAGACCGAGTGAAGAGAAACAAGTAAAATGTAATTTCATCCCGGGCAAACAGCCGAAGCCCGGATTCTCATAACTCCGGCCGTCTTCACGAAGACTGATGATCCCCTCCCCACAAAAAAACATACACACAAAGAACCACAACACTGACGCCCTGTTTGTAAATTTCCATGGGGATCGCCAGGCCATTTTTTTTTCTCTCGGGAATCACCAGCTCCAACAAGCACAGGAAGAAAAAAGAGTATCCGTCCACGATCTTCACCATTCAACGGGCATCATTTTGGATTTTAGTCTGATGTTCGCTGAAAAGGAAGATAAACCACTCCCCCCACACACGACCGACCGCACCTGGGTCCGGACAAGCCATAACCAGGTGGGAAACTCCAGAGCCAAAGCCGTCACCGCCATAATCTTTTCCATCGCGCCATGCCGCATCATCGGTCCATGTTGAATCGTGCGAATAGTTACAGATGAGGCGTTTAATCCTTGTTCTTCTTGGGGCCCTTGACCTTGGCGATACCGCGGAACTTCTTGGAACGGTTCTTCCGTTGCTTGCCTGTAGTGGGAGAAAGGGGTTAGCAAACAAGGATATTATAACATCATGTTTTTGCGATTGATAGTCGCAAAAACGAACAGAAAGGATAAACATACGCTGCTGGCGGGAAGCCTTCTCGATCTTGCTGGCGGCACCGATACGGACGAGACGGTAGTGGGGCTCGAACTTCTTGAGGGCCTCGGAGGAGTCGTAGACCAGAGCGAAGCCGGTGCTCTTACCACCACCGTACTGTGTGCGGAAACCGAAGACGGAGACCTGGTCCTTGTTGGACTTGTACAGGTCGGCCAGCTTCTCGCGGAGCTCGTCCTTGGAGACGTTGGGGCGGTTGGGGTGGAGGACGTCCCTAGATATTCGCGAAAAGATGTCAGATCGGTGTTTTCTGGGGTTTCGATGCTTGTTTCTGTGTGTGTGTGCGTATTGCGAGTTCCGATTGTATTCCTCTTTCTCTTTCTTTTTGTGCTGGGTGGTTGTCGAATTTCCATGTTGCGCGCCTGCGATGCATTTCCCACACACAGATCCAAAACGAGGGGAAAAATCAGGGGGGTTCTTACACGACCATCTGCTTGCGGGCAAGCAGAGGGTTGCGGATGAACTTGCGAGTCCGCAGAGTGACGGGAGAGTCGGCCATTTTGGTGTGTGCGTTGGATGGAGGAAGTGTCGACGGGGTCTCTTGAGGATGTCGAACTTTCAATTTTCGTGTGGTGTGGGCTCGGCTAGGGTAGACGCTAGCCTAAATAGGGCAGCTGCCTCAGGCTACAATGACTAAGGAACTCTCTGCCTGAGGCGGAAAGTGTTGATCAGCCCTTGCTTATCTCATTCCTGACTCATCTACTCTCTTCGCCCGGGCTCCAATGATATCTGCCGCATTGATCTCCTGCGATATCAAATTCATTACTATGTGCATTCAGCAACCATGACCGACTCTATTGATAAATTAGCAGCGCAATATTTTCAGCTGGTCGAGCTACAGAATTTGGCCCTCCCACCAGGCCCTGTGCTGATCCAACCAGCCGTGCAAGCAGCCTTATACAAGCGCATGTTCGACGAAAATGCAGTCTTCCCTATCCCACCAGACAGCTACCGAAGCCGAGTGCTGAAACAGATTCTCTCGCGCATCGAGGAATCAATTACCAACCCCGAGGAGGATGTATGCTTACCCACCTGTTTAAATCCTCTTGTTTTACGTCTTGCGTCTTGCATTTTGCATTTTAAAACTTCCTATCTTTTCCTCTTCTATCCCATGTACATCCACCTGACATCAATGCAAAACCAAATCCCACTTTTTATATTCCTTGATGTTCCACCTATCTAACCTCTTCCCTTCCCATGAACACAGGAGATCAATGACGATCTCATGGAAAGCTGGAGCACACTAGTCTCCCAGCCGAAACCCTCAGCCCTGCAACAAGCGCAGCAGCTGTCGTTAGTCAAGTACACAGCACCAAAGTCCAGCGCAGGAACATGCCCAGAGCGCACTGTGACGACCTCTGAATCCCGCGGCCTGATTCTTTCCGGTGGAACCACCGGAAATAGAACATGGGAGGCTGCTCTGCACCTCGGTTCGTTCTTGGCGTCTGAAGCGGGCGAGGCTCTTGTGCGCGGTAAGCGCGTTATCGAATTGGGTGCTGGCACGGGCTTCTTGTCGCTTGTTTGTGCCCGCCATCTTGGTGTGCGCTCTGTTGTTGTTACTGATCGTGAGCCGGCGCTTATTGATAACATTCGTGATTGTGTCAGGCATAATTTGAATGGGCGGGAGTCTATTCCTATTTATCCTGCGGTTTGGGAGTGGGGGACTCCGTTGGTGAGGGAGGGAGATCTTGCTGGATTGGTTTCTGATGAGGACGAGGAGGGAGCTGGGTTGAGGTTTGATGTTGCTCTCGGTGCTGATCTGGTAGGTATTTCTGTGGGCTGTTTACTTGGCTTTCGTGCTTACATGTCTAGATCTATGACACCGATCTTGTTCCTTTACTCCTATCTACTGTGCGGGATCTCTTCGAGAACTACCACATTCAAGAATTTATCATTGCTGCGACTCTGCGCAATGAGGATACTTTCCGCACGTTCTTGAATGCCTGTGGTGAGTCTTGAGTTCCATTCACAACGTTGATCGTCATGACTTATGCAGTGCTAACCATTCACAGAAACCAACTCATTCGCTATTGAAACCTTCCCGTTCGAATCTACACCTTCAGAAGACCAGACGGGTTTCTTCCATTCGACCAGCATTCCAATCCGGACGTATCGGATTTCGCGGACTAAATAAACAGCCACTTGAACTGCGTTTACATCACGAGGTAATGAGTATGAATAGAGAATGTGATATCATGCAAATGATACAAAAGTTAGTGACTGCATGGATCTTGTTGCTACTGTATATAACTAGCCCCAAGGGAACTCGATGCAAAATTGTTCAACTCAATCTTCTTGACAGGTAAAACTCCAATGGTATTGAGGTACTCAATGAAGTCCAAGACACAGGATCCTGTCTATAACATACATTGTGAAAGGACTAAAGAGTGCATATATCATCTAGACAGGTTATGAAATCAAAGATGAAAGCATGGGTATCATCGCAACTCGCGCCATTCCAAACCTGGAATCCAAGAAATGCAACAAAACCGTGAGAGCAGAATGCAAAAGTAAAAATAAAAATAAATGCAAGATTAAAACGAGTGTAGCCGCAAAAAAACAATAAATGTGCAGGTATTTAGGTTGCGAGGAATCTAGCAATTCTCTTCAGCTAGACTCTCCCGCAGCAGGTTTTCGTCTATGCTTTCAGCATGGATTGAGATCGGTGCAGGAGGTGGAGGTCGCAGGCCCATTATCGGACCCTTCTGGTTCACACCTGGATATCTGAAGCGGAGAGCTAGCGGGTCAACTGCTTTGGACGTAGATGTAGATGTAGAAGGTGATGATGCCATAGATGTGGTTGGCGAGTTTGTCGGATCTTGCGAGTCACTGTCGGCTGAGACCGGTGCCACACCCCAGCGGCCTAGGACCCAGCCTCCCATGCGGCGACCTAGCGTCGTAGTTTTACGAGGTCCAAGGGTTGAGGTTGAGCCAGTGCTAGTGCTGTCCGTGGATACTATGGATGCTGTATCGGACTTGGTGGGGTTTCCGGCAGCCATGGAAGCAAGCAATGATTGGGATGTGTGCTCTGAGCTCGCTGCACGATCGGCTGTGATGGCTGGGGCTGAAACCACAGGGGGGGTTGACAGAAGCTCGACACTGGGTGACAAAATGCGTCGAGGGATCCGCATGCCGGGATGCCAGTCGCCCATTCGCTTGTGGCGAATGGTGGGGGTATGTATGTCCATTCCAGCAACGGAGACAGAGAGCAAACTGTCATGGGAAGAAGATCTGTGCAAGGAGGAAGGCTGTACATGCATGGTAAAAATTTCGTCGGTGGTCGCCAGCGACTCACCCATGGGCGGAAAGTATGCTACCGATGGAGATGGTTCGGATTCTTCTGGGATAGCTGGCTCTCTTGTGGCATTATCGCCCATGTTCGAGAAGTCTTGGCGGTTGCAGAGATCGTCTTCATATGCGGATAGGTCGTCGGGTGCATCGGGGTGATCAAATCCACCCATTGGCCGGAATGGTATATCAAGCCCCTTCAGGTTCCGTGCCTGCATCAAAGGCGAAGAGAACACGGTGCTTTCAGGGCTGGTGGGCTCAGAATAATCGGCCCCACGTTCAACACGATCAAATATCGATGATGTCCGGAACGCGGACCGAGGAGAGCTTGCCAGCGAGTCCGAAGCATGTGATTGTGAGGACCAGCGACGGGAGGATGAATGAGGTGGGATGGATACAGAGGTTTGTGATAGAATGGCTGACATGGATGATCCAGATGATTGGGAGCGATGAAGGGCTCTTCGGGGCGATTGCGCCTGTGCCGCAGAGTGCATTGCTACCGGGCTCCCTAAAGCGGGGCGGCGTTTCTTCACGCGACGGTTGAGTGTGCCTTTCTCCTTCTTCGTAGTTGGAGCTGGACTTGGTGTGTGGAAATGATGATGAATGTGTAATTCCTGAGAGACGCGTCGTTCTTCCTTCGCTCGTAGCTCCTCGCTCAGCGTGGTCGAATGCCTTGGCTGTGTATTGTCTTCCTCATCGACACCGGCCAGCGGCTGATGAGAGATAACCTGTTCCCGTAGGTTCTGTACTTCTTCATTCGAGCTCTGAAGCATGTCACGTAGCTCCATGATCCCAACTTGCAGATTGGCGTTGTCTTGCAATATGTCCTTGACGAAACGAGAGACCACGTTTGTACCACCTGCGTTGCGGTTGAGTTCGGAGGCGGCAGCGGCACCCTTGAGACGCCCCGCTGCATTATCTAGCTCGCGCTCCACAGCTCTCTTGCGCTCCATACGTTGGACGATGTCTGTGTGTCGATCCCTCTCCTCGCGTGCCTCCTTCTCAATGCGGTCGACTTGATCATGAAGGTCTCGCAGGGTAGTTTCCGCTTGTCTCCACCGTTGGACAGCCGATTTCTCGTCTTCATGCACTGACGCAAGGCTCTCTTGGAGCTTAGACTGCTCTGTCTCCATGAGAGCTAGTTGCACCTCTAGTTCTGCGGCACGTGTCGCAGCCGCTGTCAGCCTTCGCAACTCGGACTCGGTGTTCTCCAGAGTTCTAGTTAGGGACTTGACATGGTCGTCAGACTCGGCGACCGCTTGGTTCAGATTGTCAAGTTGCTCCAATAAACTGCGATTCTCTTCGATGATACGCGCATTTTCTGCTTGCGCTTGTTGCTTTTCACGCTCTAGATCGTCAATGCTGTCGACCAACCGATGACGGTCCTCTTCCGCTTCGGCCATATAACTTTCATGACGGTGGAGCAAGGCCTGTAGGGCAAAAGTCAGTGATGATGCCTCAAAACATGCTGCCTGAGCAGTATAATCATGAAAGGTAGCCATGACGGACGCCAACACAGTGAGAGAGAATAGGAGATCGTGATCCGAGGGAGGCCATCTTCCAAATGATGTGGACTCTGCACAAGGTATGCAGAATGTGCAATCCGAGTGGTATAAATGAAAGGGCAAATTTTTAAAAAAAAGCAATTAGATACAAAGTGTTTTGTGAGGAATGATAAATTGATGTATCAAAACATGTATGGCTCAGCCAGCCGAGGAACAGCTTGGCGTCTTGTCATACCCAACCAACAGCACATCATTTTGGGCAGCTTTATTCGAACAAGATACGTACCTGACCCAGCCTAGCAGCAGTCTCCAGATCCTTCTCCAAGCCCTCGAGAGCTACATTGTTATGCTCTAGTAAGGCACAATCATTGCGGCCACAGCAGCAGCGTAGGGTGGTGGAACCGCTGGAATGGGTAGGAATGCTGAGGATCTCAGCGCTATGTGGAGGATCCATTTAAGAATGTGGCCCCTCGGGGGAGCTGAGTGTGTGGATAGACCTAATCATCAGAGAGCCTTGCAGCTTCGAGGTAACACAGACTATCACAAACTCCATTTGATTTGAGAAAGCGGAGATCTCGAAATTCAGCTGGGATGAGATAAGCCTCCAAGTGTTGACGAGGCCTTACCGCTTTTATATTGCTGCGTCTCACCGCCTCTAAGTATAGAAATGAAGTTGACGTCACAAAGAATTGTATACAACAATGCT